TATCTGGACGGCGAATTCGAACAGTTCCGGTGTAAGGAAACACAAAAATAATGAATACATAGTTCGATCCCGAAAGTACAGTTACAGAAGTACTTTTAAAGCTCATCAGGTTGAGAAGGGTCACGTAATGGATCATCAGAAGGTAAATTTCATTTAAAAGCGACCACATGTCCCAAGTCTTCGTGACACTGAGAATTTTCGGAAAACATTTACTCCTTTAGTAACAACGTCTACGTGAATTTCAACCTCACCGCTTGGAAATTATCCAGACTGGTTACAGTTGATCGACTGCAAGACTAAACATATCGACTGTTCACATGCAAACGCCTTGCCTGATGGTGTTAACAGCTGGTTAAAGCAAACCACTCTTCATAGTCACAAACGGGTTTATTGTCCCTTTTTTTAGCACGAATTGCTTCACTAGTGAACCCGATGTTTCCTCGCGAACAAGTTTTGCTCAGTGCACATCTTCCGCTGGCTTGCTCATTGATCGGTCAGCGTCGATCGAACAGCCTCACAGCTGTGAATGACCTTGTCCGCTCATTGTCATTTGTCCTATCGATTTTTACCTAGCTTAACTACGTGCCTTGCGCTTCAGCCTTGCTGTCCGCCCTGTGTTTGGTAGTTAGTAAACGAAGTTATATTAGAAACTACGACAGAAGTCTTAAAGGGGGGATTCGCCTCTTCTATCAGTTTTAGTTTTTAGTGGAACTATACTTCTTCAAGAGTCTAAAAAATGTCTACACAAGCAGGCCATCAAAGCTTGCATTTAAGTTTGACATATTTGACTAGATGGTAGGACACTATAGGAGACTTCACATGAAGTTACTTGAGCGGATCACATGAAGTCGGTGTGCGTCTGTTAGTCAAATTGATACTGACAGTATACATGTCAGAGCAGGCGCAATAAAGACCGCTTACCTGCCAGTTTCAGGGTATACCAGAAACCACACAGAGAAACGATGGAGGCTAGGTTTGTGATGATTAATGATATAGTTTTGATGTTGATCCACATGTTTCTTTCACGCCTGTTTGAAATTTTTGAAAATTTATATGCTTTTAGAATAGATTTGGTTCAATTCGAACACATCTTGTTGCCCAGCAGATGCGTTCAGATTGCATTCGCACAAGAGACCTTTTTACTAGGTTGGATAAGCTTTAACGAGGCTGTTGCATGTACTTTACCGGCAGTGTAAGGACTCAGAGGTAGTTCATAATTTTACTTTAGTTTTGGGTACAAAGTCGTTCATGTAGAACGCTTTTGAATGGCACAAATATATTTGTTTGCTAAGCATGGCCTAGTTTGGACACTGAAAGAAAATCATTCAACACTCGTGATTACGCAATGTGTGGGAAAACAAACACCGTGTCATTTCATGTTTTATGATCACTTGATACTACCAGATTTTGTATTCATAAGAAGAGACTGTCGCTGGAATGATCCCGAACTCAGCGAACGTTGTGGGTACAAGGCCCCTTCCAGAAAACGACTTCAAGCAGCAGCCGAGATGTAGGGACGGATGGTGGGAGAAAGTACCCACTCGACCACGCGCTGAACACGTCTCCTCCTTTGATGACAAAACGCTTGCAATTTAGTCACCAAACAGATCGATAAAGACATGGTCAATAACAAATAAACGCCTCTGCTGTACCAATATGTCGACACATGACTGAGTGCGTATTTTGTATAGGTCTCCCATCCATTACTGCGTACAACGTAATCCGAATAATCCCCACCTTACCCACGCAAACATGAATAAGGCTAGCTTACTGAATATTAATCATCACTCATCTTTAGGTAACGCTTGTCAAATTATTATCTGCTTGCTGTCTGTGGAATCCAGGTTGGACGGAAGAATGTCCTGATTAGCCCGCCTTTGTTAGGTCGAATAAGATTCATTTTTACAGCACTCCGAATATTCTATCCTAATGTGCCTAAAACACAATGCGCTGGTAAGACCACTTCTATTCTTAACTCACGGATTATATGAAATTATCTACTGGCAGGGTGGAAAGCAGCTTGCGAATGCTTCCAGTGACTACTGTTTCACCATGAGTAGTGTAGATCCACAGTGACCCCCACACTTATCTATAATCAGTTCTCTGGTTCCCGAGTGGTTTAATTCTGCGTGCCTTTTTGCTGCTGCAGGACAGAAACGCTGGTTTATCCATCCCCTCCCCTTCACCTCGGCAGGAACATTTATTTTTACAAGCACTTTACAAACTACGTTCATTGACGATGTTACGGAACTGTCAGTCTATCACAAGGCCGATAAACTGCGGGATCGTCCAACAACGGTCATTCAGAACCTTCTTCCCGATTCCTGTTCTCCTTCCCCTGACCCGAATGGATTTAACAACTGGCTCCATCGGCCAAGACCAGAATAGTTGTCCAACCGCTTACTGCATAAATCGTCAGAGCCCACTGTCGCAATAATCCTCCAAGTTTCCTTTCCCTGAGAACACGCCAAACCACTTGCTCCATATCAATGTTCTATAACATGTCCTAACCATACCTAGACTTCTTCCATCTCCCATCCTCATCCGGTACAGTTCCATCCAAAAGAATGATTTTCAGCTGACCCAAACATCTACCGCACCACCTTTATCCCCTCTATTTTGCTCAAGTTTCTAGCGTGGTTAAACAACTGGTAGGTGATCTGGAGGACAACACACACTGAATGAGAAAGAATTTTTCTACAGTGACCTAATGACATACTCATCGCATGTAAAGCCTTGGACATGTTTGGCAGTGCTGAATGGGTATGCCTTGGTGCCTCGAAGGTGGCCTGAGTGCCAAGCCTCTAAGGTACGGACTGTCTCCGCTTGACTAGTGGATGGATTATGAATCTCTCGACAAACCATCCGATTTGATACACCTTGCATGACTCCAATTAAGACCTACGAGGTTAGTATCGATAACCCCCAGGGTTCTTTTGCTTCCCGCATCGTGTTTCTTCTGATAACTTTCTAGTTTCTGCAACACGCTTTTGCATCCCTTCACACCTATTACACAGCCTTCTCAAAGACCAGCCAAGCTTCGAATTAATTGGGGCCGAACGCCTGACATCGCTGAGTTGGACGCTACTTTTCCTCATGTTTGGGGCTGAGTCTTGCTGGAAGCAAATAAGCTCGATCCAACCAAATTCACGTATACTTTTCCCTTCTTCCATAACCTCTTCGTCATTCGATTCCCCCATCAGTGACGTTCACTTCTCAGCCTGTCTATTTTGAACAGACTCACTTGTTAACAGCTTGTGAAACACTCGCTCATCGAGTCTCTGAGATCCTTTTTTCTTTTTTTCACCTCCATCTCCTACATATCCCAAGCAGTACTCAACGAAAAGCGTCGCGTCTCTTACGCGTTGCCTGCAAGCCCTCTCTCCTACAGCAAGCGTCCCAATTGGCCTGCCTTTTCATTCTCGCTTCGACACTAGATCCGTAGGCCCAAACAGCCATGTTCCTCTGTGCCTCCCGGTCTCCCGGTGCCGAACTTGGCATTTGGATTACAAAAGTTTCATCATCATCGACGTGAATTTCTCTGTTTGGCGTAACTTAAGTGAATTCTTTCTCTTCTGCCTGCGTTTGTATAGCTTCTAAAAAGTACCTAATAACTTTCAACTGATTGGTTTCTCCGGGTTGGCATTCGTTTAATCTGGTTGGTCAGGGTGGAATCCGCGTTGCATTGTGTTGTGATCCCACTTCTCTATATCTCGTTGGCTTGTTGGGCGACTTCAATTAGAAGGACTACGATTCCGCACACCTAAACCACTGCAAAAATGACTGCACAACATTTACAGCAACAACGAATAACGGTCGTATTCAAGCCTGCATACATTTCAAGAAGAACCATCTCGAAACCAAAGGGGAGGCTGCATGCCATGCAGATGAACGTGATCTACAGCATTTAATTTATGTTGTAAACACTGTGGTGGTCAGACTGGAATAAAACATGACACCAGAATGCACAAACGCAAGCAGAAGTTATGACCCAGTATCACTCGCTTCAGTTCACGGAAACAAAGGAGGACTTCAGTTCAATTGGGATAGTGTTCAATCAATTGTTCACGCAAAAGTAAAACGGAAACTTGAGTTGACTGAAACATGATACTCCACACAACATCACATCGATATCCACCCAGTCTATCAGCCACTACCAGCACAGTCATCGGAATCTGAGCCACATGGAAAATCAAACGGCCCAACAAGAAACAAGAAACCAATAGAACGAACTATAAAGCTGCTAATAATAGCAGGCTATCTCGCCAGCAACTCAAATGGAATACAACCAGTTACAACAGACAGTCGTAACTGCCGAACCAACGAACCAATGAGGTTCAAGAATGGGTGACCACAACGCAACTCAGATTCCAAGCCGCTGACAAATCAAATGATAGGAATGCCAACTTAGGACAAACCAGTCACTTGAGAGTTAGTGGATACTCTTTAGAAACCAAGTAAGCAGAAGCAGATAAGGAGGACTTTACCCATTCAACCGCGCATTGCCTATCGCATCCCGATTGATGGTGAAACGTCTGCAATCCACATAACTACATTCTACAACATTATCAGGCCTTCTCCCTTGGTCCTAGTCTGTCAAAAGTACAAGTTCGAGGAAAGCATTGCAGTTCTAGAAAACGGTAAGTATAGATAACAACAGCAGTACCAAAGTTCTTCTAGACGAAACCAACATAGTTCACTATATCTTACATAGAAGTGCCTAGTTCATGAGATGCCAGTTACCTGTGCGGGGAAAACCACTACGTAAAAAGTAGATATCTGGCCCACAACAGTCTCTTCTGTTTGAAAAACCCTGACCTTACGTGTCCCGTCTGATATGGGGTGATGTTGAAACATTTTCAGAGGAAGAGACTTTTTTCAAAGCGTTCCCTTGGGGATAACTATGATTTATTTGACTAAATGTACTAATGAAGCTGTCAGTGCTTAACTCTTCGCGAAGTTCCAAAGTATCCTTCATCTGACAAAATTTCACCCACTGCATGCAATTTTCCAGCGACCTCTCGGCCTTTGGGAAAATTCTGGTCCAGGAATTCGACGCATTGGACAAAAAACGCGATCGAAAACTGTGCCTGGACGAGCTGAAATCTTTTCTGACAACATTCGGATTCAAGGAATCTCAAGCCGTTGTAAGTACTCCACTGAGATAATTTCTTTCTTGCATCAATTTCCATTTTTGAAGCACAATGCATTAGCTATTTTTTAGTTTGTTGCACAAAACCTGAACTTTAGTCTGTTGCGTTTCGTTAAAAGTACACTTTGTTAAATGGCTGTATATCGAAAGTACAGCCCTCCCCCCATTTCTCCTTTTGTTGGGGCTCATCTTCAATAGAAAATAAGCTTTTTGCCCTGAGTCGTGGGTGACAGGGAGGATATTATGGCCGATATGGGTGCATTGTCCCGAAACTCATGAGTGGTCCCTTTTACGCACTGATCAATACCTAGGACCCTTACTTCCAGTCACGAGCGGCGAAATCCTGAATTCAGACAACTGTTATGCGTAATACTTAGGCACGAGGATACATCACTGCAAGCAAAGCTGTCAATAAGGTGAAGCTGTTATCCTTCTCACCAAAAAGCACCGATCTCAGGATTCCGTAATGTCCTGCGTTCAACATGATGAGATCCTCTAACATCTTTGAAGTACTTCAGAACGTGTAGTCTCTGAATATACCTCTTACGATACAAGAAGAAGCCCAGAGGTTTTGAAGAATTTTACACATGTCGGCAGTTGGATTAGCTCTGATGGAAATGTGTCTGTGCACGGATCTTGAAGGCCCAAATCATGTTTGCTAATTTGCTTCACTTGTAGCGTCAAAACGCCTATCACTGTGTCTCGTGTCACACGTATCACGCCACACTAACGGTTGAACTGCTATCTGGTTGCGAGACATGGCTTCTGTGGACAAATGTGAGGCATCCTCAGTTCCGTGACCAAAAACGTCTCAAGAAGGCTGGTGGTACTGGACGGTTGCACCATATTTGTAGCCGGATATTCAGAGAACAAGTATTTGGTTGTTCGGCATTTAGCTTAGCCGCGAAAACATCCAGCATCATCAAATACGTTGGCTCATCCGCGTGCTACGCATGTCGAAATATCGTCTACAGAAATGAGTGCTGTTCTCCGTGCTTCCTTCAAAATGGCGCGAACTGAAAGCTGGACAGCTTGTGACCTAACAGAAGGGTGTAAAAGAGATTATGAAGAGTGTACGTGTTTCTGATGCAGTTCACTTTCCAGGATGATTACCTTGTGACTTCCCTGCGCTTTACTAGAGACATTCCAAGAAGTGGCGGCTAGTCTATGTCAGAGCAATCTGTGCAGTCAGTTTCTCTTCAGATTGTTTGGTTCGGCGGTCGTAGGTGTAGGCACCTCAGAATGCGTGCAATCGGCCGGAATCAGGCCTCTGCCTGACTCACTTTTTTCTATTCTTTGCACTTTAAGGCTTTAAGTTTAATCAAATGAAATTTATGGTTGTAGGGAATCGGTTGTAGTAATCGGTCGTCGTGCTGCTGAAAGATGTCCGGTGAACCCATGGCTACGGAGTCGGAGGGAGAGACTTTTGCCTTCCAGGCTGAAATTGCTCAGTAAATTTCGGGAACATGTACTTCCGTTCTCCAACAAATGGAGAAACCTTGAGAATTGTGTTACTGAAAATCCGGACCCTGGTCGGTGGTGAAACCATCTTGAGATAGCTCAGTGGGCAAGCGTTCCAAACCTAATTTCTGGGTCTCCTCCAGAATTGAGCGATTTGATCTCCTATGCTATCCCCTGATAGGTTGCTACGGTTAAACGATTAACGTACTTTTCTATGATGTTTTGAGTAGGCTTACATCAATTTAGGGACGTCACCTACATGCACTACCATTCAACTATTCTACCTCTGTTGTTTAATTCAGTTCTTCAGTTTAATAAACCATCACACTTCCAGACGGATTCGTTTGTGATACGCATCGGAATAGAATGGGAACAAAATTTGTCCCACGTAGGAATCTCGAGGTTAATCGTCAGTTCTGATTTCACCATTGTGAGCTGTTCTATACCTGACCTATCCAGTTTGATGTCCACATTGGTGTTTTTTAACTTTAATACCCCCTTCATGCTGGCTCCGTTTGCCTGTTGTTGCATCGAAGGCATCTTGGACATGCCAGGCATGTTACACTGACATTAAACCGTGCTTCTTTACGTATAACTAAGGTTAGCAGTCTACCGAGAATGGTACAGCACATCAATTATCCTCGGATTCATGTGCTATGTCAGCTGAAATTGAATCTTAAAGCATTCCTACTGCCTCGATTACATCTCCTCAGTAGACTGAGCATCTCTTCTTCGTTGCCACTTTTGCATCTACTGCAGTGATATTGACCTGGTTGCTTGAACGTTGACTAGTCAACGTGCCAACTAACGGAGAAAGAACCAAGACCGAACCGAGTGGGAACTGCGTGTAAGAACAGATGTCAAACCTCGACAAGGCAAGCATCAAGTTGGCAAAACACGATGGCGATCGATTTTGCATTTTGATCAGTATAATCATCTGCTGATGATCGCACAGCTGATATACGTCAGCGAAGGAGCGGTGGACTTAGCCGAATGTCGCACGAGTATGCCGCGCGATTGAGATGAAACTCACTGGGAACGCTGACAGGCTGGCGAAAAGATGCACGAGTATGCTGCGCGATTGAGATGAAACTTACTGGGAACGCTGACAGGCTGGCGAAAAGAGCCCTCTTGTCCAGGAGGTGGTTATTTCTTGTAATGAAAGCGCATACAGTCCATGTCGCGCATGGTTCTTCCCCGTCAGTTGCCATCCTCACCAAAGGCCTGAGAACGGTATGTATGTGACGAAACCTCTCAGAAAGTGCAGAAGACCTTCAGAAAGCCCCATTTTGTGCTCGAACAGTGAGGTTCTTAAACAATCTTCATTCTAGCTGACTGGAAGGATCTAAGTTCCATATCCGGAGACCATCAGGAACAATTTGTGTGTGTTTAGAATGCATTGAGAGACCAATATAGATGATCGTGTTGAGCAGAGACGTGATCGCGAACTACTCAGATTAGCGACGGCCAGTTGGTGTGTGGGCACCTTCACGAGCTACTGACAATGGCAGTTGCTGGGTGTGAACCTTGCACACCCGAACTTAGCACTGGTAGGAAGAGTTGTATGAAAGCCCTGCAGCGAAGTGATATCCTCCCACCCTAGACAAACGAGGAATTTGAAACGAGCAAAGACCCTGAAAATGAATGCTCTCCCTTCAATCATAATCATTTGAGCGTTTGTTAAAGTGCGTCAGTGGTTGGTAAGATTTCCTTTGGACTATTGTTAGAGGTGACTTTGTAATTCATTCCGAAATTCGCACCTGACAAGCAGTCGGTCAAGTTACCAAACAGTATCGTGGCACCTGCCCTACATTGCTTAGGTAGATAATCAATTTGCAGTGATCGGTTGCTGACCGACTGGTTACGTATTCAAACCTCCCACACTCGTGCTGACTATGCCAACAAGAATGGAAAAGCGATTCCAGCCCTTTAAATGCAGAATGACTTCATTTGCCGAGTGAACTCCAGATCACCTCATCAATCATAAACTACAAACATTCTGTTCAGGGAGCAACAATCTCACGGGAGCCTTCGGCCTAAGGTGTTATCACTTTAGGAGTAAATCACTAAGGGTTTAGGTCACGTGAACTAAGCGGCTGAAGGAGATCGCTGCTATCCTCTGCCCGCAATGTCGTCTGACTGGCAATGTGTCGCTTGCAGTGTAGTAGTGCGGTATTGCTTCTCGGTTGCTCAACAGAGATCGACTTCCGTTTTAGATGAAATCTCGACCAAAGTATTGCACTTGTGAACTAAGTAATCTTTTCACTGGCCTCCGAAATAATTTCGGCTCATGCTTGCAAGTGGTTTCAAACCCAGTTTCGTATTCGAATGCTGATGGTGGTAACTGATTTAATCACTGTATGCTAACAGGACCGCAGATACGATAATCTGAAAACTTAGAGCAGTGCTTAGTGGGTTTTTGATCCTTGCAGGTGTTTCCCCTATCATACAGCTAGGAAGCAATGGGAATCAATTTATCGATCCATACGCGTGCGCTGGCACCTCTCAATCATGTGATAGTTTTACCGACCCTAAAGAATTGACAAGTTTTGTCATACAGCGCTTAATTTTCGTGTCTTACGCCTCAGTAAATCGATAAATACTCTCTGAACCTGTCTCCGAAAGTGACACACCAGAACGTCCCAATTCACGGACAAACGGTTATCGATCGAAAGTGGATCTGGTTGTATTTAGGTCAGGCTAGACATCTCGTGCTTGAAAGCTGGCTGATCTAAAGACACACCAGGTTCACCTCGAAATCTTGTGTCAGCTGAGCCATTCAAAGCAGATGGGATGGCTGCTACATAAATTAATACAGGAAAACACGTCGTAATTAAGGCACATTAAATTAGGAGAATCGCCGTACCGAAACGTCTTGGCAGCCTTAAGGTCCTGATTACTGAAAAGAACGTACGTTGACGAACAACAAGGACAGTTCTTCCGTGCTTTTGATAGACAGGCAACTGCTCGCTTTTACTATCATCGTCATCATCATCTCCGATAGGATAAAATCAGTGTTCAAAACTGACACTTTGCTATCGAACAGACATCTGCGAGTGAAGCAGTTGCAAGTGAGCTCAGAGGATGATTCTGAAAAATCCTTCTAACTCTGGAATCTGACAGTCCCCACGTACCCCACGGTCACCACGTACCTTAAGCAGTTGTTCGCAATTTTCCGTACGTGCCGAGTCCAATCCATGTCTCAGATGCTTACTTGCGCATTCAACCAACCGGCAACCACAACGATGTCCTTAAATCTGCTGTAACAGGTCATTCTAAGTGCCATAAAACTTGTATTTTATGGTGTCAGAGTTACAATCTGTTGGGCGTAAGCAGACACGACAGACAGACATGGATCAGCTTCCCCTTGTGAGACTATCAAAGACATTGTCAGACGAACCGCACAGAGGTGATTATCATTTTGCCGTTTTTGGATCACCAAAAGTAGACAACCGAAAGCAAGTGACAAGGTGGCTAGCTCAACTACCGTGTTTGCGTCTGGAATTCTTGTTTTTGATACACAGCACACATCAATGTCAAGCAAGCCCAGTGTAGGAGCGTCTTGTCCTATTTGCAAACATTGAAAGCACCCAGATGGACCGTCTTTCAGACCGGTTTTGAGATGCATAAGGCACTCAGTGATACCTGACTTGGAAATATTGCGGCCAAGACTGATGCAGTAAGAAGGATTCTGTCAGTCCTAGAGGATGGGCCCGCAGAAAGAAGGGGTATATTAATGGGGTGGGGGGGAAGAGTGGAAGAGAAAAAGGGAGTCCTCAGCAGTGGCATGTTTCCGCCTACCCACTCCGCTGTACGCAGCAAGTAGGGCATCCCGGATGACGACAGCCAATAGGGCGTGACAGTAGTGTTAGTTGTAAGCATCATGGTTGTACCTGAGTTGGGATGTCTCCATGGCGCCCGGACATAGACAGGAGGACGATTAGGCTCCCCAACCAAGGTCTTTGGCTCAAAAGCCTGACCACAAGTCTACGGTGTTTGGCGAAAAACGCTAGTGCATTACCATTTTCAAAGAGCAAGTCGCCACACATTTTCAGACCCCCAACCTAGAGGGCCAGCTCAAGGTGTCACGGACGAACCCAGCACCGTAAGGTCCAAGAGCAAGTGCCACACATTTTCAGACCCCCAACCTAGAGGGCCAGCTCAAGGTGTCACGGACGAACCCAGCACCGTAAGGTCCTATCTCTTTGTAAAGGACCCCTTTCGCTAGTTAGCCTTCTCTTTTTGGAGTACAACGATGGTTTCCTTTCTAATTCTCGCCTGTCATCATACGCCACACAGATCCATGTTTGAAACAACTCTGTGTGGGACCACTTTCACGTTGATTTTTTTCACTCTGTAAACCGGCTTGAATTCAACCGATACTTCAGGCCAATTGACCTTTGCCACATTTTGTCTTTCAGCTGTTTATGAAACTTTTCGACAAAGATAAGGATGGCTTCATCTCCAAGGAAGAGTTTTCAGCCGCGGTGAAAAAAATCAAACCAAACCGAATATCGTAAGTTTACCATTTCGCGATGGATACCGGTTATGGGATTTGAGTATACAAGTTTGTTCGGAACCACCTGAAGGTTCGAAGAATCCAGCTAATGTTTAAGCCGGTCCGTTAGAGTATGTTTTCCTGATAAAGTTCCATAAAAAAAAGAAAACACCTCAATGTATTGAAACCGCCAATTCTGGTCACTCTCTTGAGACGTTCATTGTGGAATGTGACCCGCTCTTAGCAGTTTGACCACTCCACCGTACACAATCCAACCGAGCAACAAGTATATTGGAAATTATGAAACCCTGGGAAACAGAACTCATCGCTTATCAGAAATCCACATTCTTTTATATTCCTGCCACTTTTCAAGTGGCTCTCGGCAGAGCAGGTGATCTTTCTCACACCTGTCATTGACACTGTGACCTTTTGAAATTAAATCACTTATAACTGCGGTGGTCTCTCAGAGACAGCTCAAACGTAATGGAGACCCCGTGAATTCGACATTGAACCGCCATGCGACGAGCTTCAATCTACAAACCACTCCCAATGTTTATCAGTCTACTTGCTTCTGTATAGACGGGGAAATTGTCGAGGCAGCAAAAAGGATCAATGTTTGAACCATATCTAAGGGTTTTCTTCTGCTTGCACGTGCTGTGTTGTTCTCATTGCCGCATATACAAGGCTTGCTTGTTTTCTAGCGAACAGATGGAGCGAAATCCAAGAAACTAGATGAAATCGTCTTTATGTAAGCTATGGGATTCATTCCCATGATGTTGTGATCCCCAATGTTCCGTTTTGTTGGTCATAGAAAGGTATTGTTGACAACTGGTGAAATACACTCATCTGCTAATTAATTTGGTTTTGCGCGAGACTCACCTGGAATCCAGCTGAATCTCTCGTTTCTGACATTTCGAAGCAAGTGAATGTGCTGCACCAGTTGGCACAATACTCTAGATAGCATAAACGACAGTTGGGTTTCGGGTGAGTCTCTCACAAAACCAATTTTATTTGCAAATTAATGTATTTCGCTAATTTCTTGCAAATTGGGTTCAAGTATAACGTGAGGTTGACGGAAACTCGGGGACTGCGCCTAACTGATGAGGCCCAAGAAGAACGCAACCGGTCATGGGCTGTCGAAGGGTTTTCAGCAACCTTGTGAGTAGTTTCCTTTATGAATCGATATCTCAAAGCGATATCTCGAATATCGTGCCAACTGAATCATGAGGCAGCCTGTGTGCAGCACATTCAGTCGTAGAATATTATAAACGAGGGATTCAGTTGAGTCTCTCGTGCAAACCAAATTTATCTGCAAGTGAGTGTATTTCTCGAAAAAAATCCAACTTGGGTTCAAGTATAACATAAGTTTGACGGAAACTCGGGGACTGTGCCTACCTGATGAGACCCAAGAAGGGTGAAACCGGTCATGGGCCGTCCAAGAATTTTCAGTAACCTAATGAGTGGTGTACTATGTATTGTTGACAAGTTTTCCATCGTTTTCCTGTAAGTAAAGGACATATTAAGTCTTCATCTTCTCATGCAATCGGTTGAAGTTATCAGGTGCCTGTAGCCAGCTTGTAGCAAAAAGCTGTGCTGAATACAGTAGGCAGCTGGTCCGACGAGATCTCCTCTTACGCTTAGTAGCCAGCGATCTACATATTAGCCACGAGCCCTCACTATCTTATTGACCCTCATGTCAAGAATTCTATTGTGGAATCCTTGAATGTTATCCTACCAAATGACCCTACCTGGTCCCTTCATATCCGAAAGATCTTCGGTAGAGTTTGATGTCTAGCTTTTTAGGCAGTCAGAATGAGGACTCTTTCTGTTCGCCTCAGTCCTCTTCGTAGGTTCGTCAGTGCCCGTCCCCGTCCTCCGTGAATTTTGTGTTCTTATGTCATCTTTCTGAGACTACTTGGAGAAGGTTACTACCTAACTGTTGTCAGGTCGGTAGAACACTTTTCCAGTGAAGTGGAATCCCAGGAAACAGCCAAGTTGATTTCATAGCAAGCAAGAATTCCGATCCGTGTTCCAGCTCCATTCAAAGAGTTCTTCCGTGTTTTACGTCACCCTCTACAAAAATCCGGCATTAAAACCACGTCTGGTCTTCAACCCGTTAAAATACTGGTAACTAAGTTGCATTTATTGTTTGTTGATTAGTTGGTTGTTAATATGCTCCAATGTCCGGCAGTGAGCTTGCAAAACGATGGGATACCATATCCATGCGGCTGGGTGTGTTTGTACGGTCGTCTTGACGTGATTGGCCGATACAGGAACAGCTTTCTCGTAAGCTCATTGGTCTGTCACAAACTAACCAATTGTGAATTGTTCAATCACGTCAAAACCTGATAGGTACTTTCTAAAAACGTAGGTAAGGAGGAACTACCCACAGAGCCCCAAAGCGATGGCATTCTCCGGTTTGGTGACAAAACTTCTACGAGCTTATGCCAGGCTCGCTGAGCTGATCAACATCCACGTCTGCTTCATGTATTCGACACAAGTAAAAACTCTTATCCACCAGAAACCCCACTTGCTGTAATTCAGTGATTCCTTGGTCGACTCCTACTGATCTACATCTCGACTACCGATGTATACCACTCATTGATGTGTATTTCAGGGGAATTCGGCAACGTACCCTAAACTGTTTTATCATATAATGCTGTGAAGAATTTTATATATATATATATATATGGCCATTCACTACGAGCCATGTTCTAGCCTCTGTTCCTCTGGTAATAAAAGATGGCGGATCTAATGTATAAAGCTCGCATCAGACATGAAATTTCAGTTTTATGTGTTATGGTTGTATACGGAGCGAACAGAAAAAACTGACGTCAGACCTTCACTGTGTCTCATCCAAAGAGAATCCGAAAACTCACAGACCAACCATTATCTTCCTGGAACGCTGACCGTTTTTAGACATCACATTATGAAGAATTTAAACATTGGTTCCACCCCTCATAGGATCACCAAATGATTATTTTGGACCCTTCCAAGGAGACTTCCAATTCCAGGGGCTGCTCTGAATGAGATATATTAGAGGGCCTCGTGGTGTTGTCTATTCTACAGTCATTGCATTGGAGAAGCTAATCCTCAGTCCAAACCAGTTGAGTTGACTGACATCCTAACTTAGTGAAATACACACATTCGCAAACAAATTTTGTTTTGCGAGAGACTCACCTGGAACCCAGCTGAACCTCTCGGTTTTGACGTCTCCAGGCAACTGAATGTGCTGCACCAGGCCGCCTCATGCTTCAGCCGCTACGATATTCGAGATATCGCGATACATATATATTTGTAGTGCACTACTCATAGGGTTGCTGAACACCCCTCGACAGCCCACGACATCCTAACTGTTGATTCCTGAACAGGCTGTAAGACGTTATTAGTGCACAGGTGGCGACAGCCATAATACAAATCAGAAGGTGAATGTGCACTAATAGAAGTTTTTTAGTGTGGTTGCGGCACGTATAAAAATGAATACAATGCGAAATGGGAGCAAGTCAATAAAGGAACTTATCGTATGTGAGAGTCCCTTGGTGAAAGTCCGGACGGCGGTAACGTGTTTTCTCCGCAGTTTGGCTGCTACACGTGTTCCATGATTGTCCGTGGACTTGTGGAGAGGTTGACGTCTTGCTCCCTGCGCACGCGCGAGTCTGTGCGTGTTGACTGTGTTGTCACTTCCTATATATAGGAAAGTTTGATGTGTGTATAAAATATGAATCGTTCCGTGCGTACTAAACAGGAACTGACTTGTAGTCGGTCAAGGTTGCGGGTGGAACGGCGTTTGTCACGTGACTTGTGTGCTTGTGTAGCAGGTAAGTCGTAGGATCTAGTAAACACCCATGTACTGGACAAATTAAGTGAAGTTGGTTGAGGGGACATGGAAATGTCCGCTACAAATACTCCCTGCGCACGCGCGAGTCTGTGCCTTGACTGGGTTCGGTTTGCGTTTATGTAGGTCCCAGTGCGTAAACGTGGGCGCGTCGTCACATGATTGGTCGCTACGCTGACTAGGCGGTGCAGACAATCGATGTCCGATGAGTCAGCTTAATGCGACGTGTTTGTGCGTATGGGAAAAAACAAGCCTCGCGATCCAGTGAGCGACTGTGAGTTGAACAGTCAAGTATGTGGGTGACTGGGTCGCTACAACGTCTGTTGTACGGTTGCTATCAGCGGGAACTGAATTTTGTGAAGATCTTCTACAGCAACTCACACACATTTGCATATGAATTGGTCCTAACCCCTTGTTCCCTTGACCTTTAGGGCAGTGCGCGCATAGAAACAAGTCCAAGACATGGCCAGCTTTTTTTTCCGTGTGCACAGTCTCAGTATTTTCGATGAATGTGCACCTCCGGGTTTGGCCTAACATCATGAGGTGATAGACAAAACGGTCCAACCATACGGTTTGCTTAAAATTTATCGTTCTTTATCCTGTCTTTTGTGAGGCCCTGACAGAAGACAAGTTACTGAAGACTCGGGCAGTCACCCGTTCTTTTAGTCTGGGGAAATAATAAGTGGAAGTTCAAACCTCCGAATGTTTTAGGGAGTCAAGTAGACACCACACAATCACCATTGGGCAATCTAGGGGAGCCCAGTTTAAAGCATGCATCTCATCTATCTATGATAATCAATCTATCCAGGGTATTACTCAATTTATCTGTAACTTTGATTGAAACAGGTAGGCTCACCTGTGTGCTGATCTTGAAATGACGCACCTTTCGAAGGTTGTTTCGGGGTTGTTTGTTTGCTGTTTCGCATGGGCTGCCTTTCTACATACTTATCATTATTTACTTATTACCTTATTAATTTATTATTATTTATTTCTATTTATTATTTATTTGTTTATTTATATTTAGTAGGGATGTGCTTGCTAGATGTGATGTAACATGATTTTTGTGTCCATGTCATACGTGTTTTAACAGCCTTCCTTATGTCCCTCGGCAAGAGAATTCCAGTTGGTTTACAACAATACAATGACCGGGCAAAATGAAGACTGTTCATAGGAGAATGATGTGATTAGCAGCTCCACAAATCTCCGCAATTGCACACAGTCAGATGTAGCAAACCTAAAATAAACTAGAGATATTACAGTATTTCTCGTTTTTGTGCACATGGAATACTGCCAAAAATGTATGAAAACGTCACTGTTTTGTTTACTGGAGTGGTTTTTCCACACTGTGCACGAACTTTTGGATCTCGACTAAAATGTAACCAGTAGAGGAGTATCCGGTAAGACGGCATGTAGTTTCGTAGAGGAGGAAGTTACACTAAAAGGCCGCTTACTTTACCGATACAGGGTATTTCTCCTTCCACTCCTCACTTCACGTCTAAACAGTTACGGGGAGAGGTAGTTGATTGTCAGTTTGTTTGTCCAAATTGGCAGTTGGATTGCAGACGTTTCATCACCAATCGAGATGAGACCGTCAGTGCGGGGCTGAATGGTTAAAGTTCTCCTCATCTGTCTCTACTTATTTCGTCTCTAAAGAGTATTCAATAACTCTCAAATGGCCGTTTGTTCCGAAGTTAGCATTTGTGTCATTTGGCTTGCCATCAGCTTGGAATCTGAGTTGCGTTGTGGTCACTTATCGTTGAACCTCGTTGGTTCGTTGGGTGCATTCAGTTTGGCAGTTCTGCTCTTCCTTTGTGATTGGGCCGTGTCCTCCTTGATCTGTGATCTGGTTTTGTTCTTTTTGAATAGTTGGTGGGGTAACCTGCTATTATTAGTTGCTTTCCATTTGATTCTATTGGTTTGTTGGTTGTTTTTAGGCCGTTCGCTCTTTCATGTGGCTCAGATTCCAATGACTGTGTTACTAGTGGCTGATAGACTGGGTGGATATCGATGTGTACGTCGATCGATTATTGTGTGGAGTACCACACTTCAGTGAACTCAAGTTCTCGTTTTACTTAAGCGTGAACAGCTGACAGGACATTATTCCAATCGAACTGAGGTCCTTCTCTACCTTTTTGAACCGAAGCGAGTGATATTGGGTCGTGTCCTCAGCTAATGGGCTTGCGTTCGTTTATTCTGTTAATAATAATAATAATAATAATAATAATAATAATAATAATAATAATAATAATAAAGTTATAATTCATAGCATAATTAATTGTATTTATAGTTAATAGTAATAACAAATAGGATAGCCTGTTACTTTGATTATGTTGCACACAAATTCAAGTCGCCATCTTTCTTGTCTTCCAATTAATTAGTGACATTTTATACGGGTGATCCTGTTCACTCCAACACTCATCAATTCACCTAGTCCCATTCGTCAGAAGCGCGGTATGAAAATCTGAAGGCCTCTAGTCATGACTGTATTTTCTTGCTCAACTGTTAAGGGCCTCCCAAAAAGAGCAATCATATCCACTCGTTCTTCTGTATTCTGAACGATGCAGTGAACTGTGGCAACAGTCAAACAGTTTCTAATCGAATCAAGACTAGGTCCAAATGGTAGCATCGTATCAAGCGAGTCTAATCATTTTCACTTCGTGTTTACACTACTCATTTTCTGAAAAGTAACGTGATTCTGTGTAATTCAACTCTCGCCTTTTAGAGAGGCTCAGCTCCGCCAGCTGTTCAAAAAGGCAGACAAGAAAAACTGCGGTAAACTTGATGCAAAAGAATTGAGGGCATGCTTGTTGCAGCACGATAAAACGTTGGACACCAATCACGTGGATGAGTGGATAAGGAAGCATGACAAGAATAAAGACGGAAAATTAAATTATGAGGAATTTATCACGTTCATGTTGGATGTTTTGTAATCACGCACTGTGTTTGATCAAACTTTGAGATAATTTTTGTGTTCCTTCACATCCCGACGCGGTTTTCATGTCAGTTATTGATGGCAGACGAAACTGAAAGGTTTCTCTTATCAGCCCTCCTTTCAGCTTGATCTACCACGAGGAAAATCATACCTTTGCTTTAATCGTGATGATTCAGTAAATTGTATGGCAATATGTTGTGTTAGACCCTTTAGCCATTCTTGCGCATAGGTCGACAACGGAGAAGCATGCCAGATTTATATGCAAAACTAAATAAAATCGGTAAAGGCAGCGGTGCGAGTGATTTCGTAATCGAAAAGTAGGGTTCGATTTCCTCAAGGAGGATTTCAACTCGATCGTCCTCCAAGTTCTCGAGACGTGTACAACTGTTGTTTCACCACTTGAAAGACACTTTGTAGATGTTCTTGTGCTGTCTTCCTACGTTCGGTTAAATTACCCTGACATTTTCTCGACCAAGCCTCATTCTGAAGAACAGAAAACCTCGCAAAGCGAAGTGACCAAACCCAGGGGTGAATATCAACGAAGAAACTTCGCGAAAGCTTGTAGCTACTTTAGAAAGCCTTATGATCAAAATACGCAACAAATATCAAGCTTTTGATCAAACAGTCAGCGAGAAAAATCGGCCTACGCGAACCGAAGATACTAGCAGAAACTTCTTTCCAGTCTCCGCTGAAAGTATCGACCTGTCCAGGAAATACGCAAGGTGATCTACCGGTTGTCGATTGTGTAACCGCACCGAATTCAGAAGGCTAGAATGTGTGCAATCGTTCATTCGACTGAGTCCTTCCTATAATATGAACAAAGCATAAACCCGCTGTGGAGGTCACATGTAGAAACCAGTTTTCACCAAAAACCAGATAATCAATGTGCTGGCACTTCTAACTTTACCTCCCTCAGTACAGGGGTAAGTTTAAATGCCAAAAAAGTACGATAACGTTCTCCAAACCGACAAATGGACAGGTGAATGAGTGATTATAAAAGCCATGAAGAGCGATTGAATTAAGCGCACAGGGCTAAGGTAGAACGATAGAGTGAGTTTTGGCCCACCTATTCAGTCAGTGACCAAACCGATGGCTATATCATGTCCCAATAAAAAGAAGACTTGATTAGTAAGGTGACTTCCAGTTCTTTAGCCCCTACGAATTATTTGATTAAAAAGTCTAACTACTTGAGAGTAGTCAAGCGGAGGCTCCTAATTTTTGCTGTCCAAATGAGAAACCTGAAAAGCACCAAAGCAATGAGAATTCCATTTGAAGGCCTGGTGAGGTTTGCACGTTAATCTTAGCAAAACTTAGTTGTTCGCATGATGCAGAACATGTAACTGATAGTAGCTGGAGTGATTCTCGCGTAAGCATTGACTTACATTGCTTGATCAGCCGGTGTCCCAACGAACAGCATCTTGCAAGACTAGAGCTGATACACTGATCGTCAATACATGTCCATTAGTTCGCGATTGAACAAATTTGCTCCAGAAGACACCCGAATCCCCTTAAATAACTGGATCATTTTCCTACTGGACCTTCTGTGTCATTATGAGCGTCACTTTCGAAATAAAGGAGGTCTCTAACTGGCGTGATCGGGTCCGCTTTAGGTTTGCTGTAGTCAGTAGTAAAGCAAATTGCAACAAAAGCATATGTCCCAATCGAGTTGTCATCTTGTAAGTTAAGCCACTGTGTGCTGAAAAGCAGAGAAACACTGTATGGCTGTTTTATCCTTTGTGGGAACCAGCAGCGGTGCGAATCTCATGAGATTGCAGGTCGTTTCGAACTCGCCACTTTAGAACAACGAACTTTCAGGTGCATACGAGTTATTTCGAACTTCATAGGGGCGGTACTACTCATTACCGTATCAGTAGTACACGTCGTCCATATTGGAAGTGTTTTTATTCGTATTATCGTTTGAGAGCGATGGTAGCTGAGAGCAACAATGGGTCGGCCGAATCAGCCTATCCGGAGATTACAACAGTTGGGAGTATCAACAAACAAACTTGGTGGTCAAACCAATAGTTGATAGGGAGCACTGTCGCTGGTGGCCATCAAAACACATTTGCATACGGTAGCACAACAGATGAAAGTGTGGAACAAACACGTTTGCAACGTAATATGCTGATCTTTAGACAAGGACTATTGGGAGAACTGGACTACACAACTGCCGATGGATTAACCGTTTTCGTTGAGGCAGATTTAACTGGCGGTTCTTCACTTTCTCTTGACAGATGAGTTCTACTTTCAGCATCACTTTTTGGCCCGCCTAGAATTTTCTACATGAGCTTTGTAAAATACCCGTCTTCGGCTGCACATGACGCCCTTACGCGTCAGTGTTCAATAGATCAGCTGATTCGCACGTTCATTGGCTTTTCGGTTTGGCTAAGCGCATCAGGCTATCGAGCGGCTATCCAGACCGGGGATCACGGTAATAAGAAGGCATTAGGAAAAGTGTGGTTCACAAAAAGGACGTCCCAGGAACAATCACAAGGGTCGACTGAACACCATAAACTAGAGTGGTTGCTACATAGCGGGACTAGGGCATCATATGAAACAATTTTTCAATTGTCCGACAAGCACCCGGTTTAAATAGCCACCTTCCGGTTATGACGTCACCTTTAATTGGAAATAGTCAGCCAAACGCTTGGTATGAACATGCGCGCTGCCAGGAATAGAATGCACTAAACAAAGAACAGTACTCTCTGTTTCAAGATTGTTGGTTCTACTGCTCGTGTGTTAAGGACTTTGGATTAGCGTTTTGAAATCATTCTTCACTGATAAATATGTTCGGATTAACAGGCTGGAATTTCCAGCCTTCCTGTTGGAAGGATGTCTACAAGTTTGAGTGAAGCTGACCAAAAGTCCGCCATGGCGTCTTTAGAGCTGCTAACACATTTTGCATCAGAAAGTGAATGCCACCAAAGTGTTTTGATGGTGAACTTGACCCTCTGCCTTCGGGAACATCAAAGAGTTTATAGCCCCGTTTACTTCGATGGAGGGAGTGGTCGGTGTTTCACCGACTGGGAGTCACTAATCCTTCATCTGCGCTTTTGCGTTCATATCATTCTACCCCACGTAGCTAGTGCCCTGTGTCACGTCCACAGCTTGTCTGTTATCCTTCGTGGTTCTTTCCAACCGAAGTTTACAATCTGTTTGCCTTCAGTTGGTCCATACAGCTGTCTCACGTGCTCGCGATTGGGCGAGTTGCACAGGTGGATGGCAATGCTCCCTTTAGGTGCTTTCCTGTTAATTTGTACTACGCCTCTCTAGTTCGGTTGCGTCGGGTTTGTAAAGCAATACATTCAGGCTGGTGTGTTATGGGTCCGTTTTTGGTACTCAGTGGTGCAGATGCCTCACAGCAACCCCCGATTCGTTTCCCAATGGGACCCTTCCTCTACACAATTGTTCAAAACTCTTATAAACAGGACAATCAATGAACAACAACGGCAACAACTTGTTGAATTGAATGCAGTTGAGTTAACAATGGCCAAGGTGTCACTGTTCATACAAACCAACCCACTCAGAGGCCATCCGGTTCAGGTAAGCTCTGAATATTATCTCAAATAAAAGACTATTTATAAGGTCAATGGAAACACTTGATAGCACACTGTTTGTCTCACTTTCCATTGGACTCAATATTTGAGCGAATCTCCACCACCCAGAGCACATCCCATGAAGAGTGAAACCGGTGTAATGGTGATACTACTGATGGGGAGGCACGCGAGCAGTATGTGTTGTTCGTGGAATTTCGCTTTGTGTCTTTTGAAAAGGGGAGATCTGTTTCGGAATTTGTGGAGTCACTTTGTAACATTTGCTTGGATTTGAGCGAGGAATCATTGGAGTCAATGAATATCCAGGAAAGTTGAAGAAGACGCGTTCAGAAGAAGACGGATGTCCAGTTTTTGTAAATAATATGCATATGAGAGTTTTGCTCCCCTCTCCAATGATCTGTAGCCGATCAGTTGGCATTTCTTGATAAATAACTTCGCAGCGGAGGCCTTCTTCCTTTCACCGGTAGTGCGCCGGAAAACACTCAGATATCTTAAATATCCTTCCATCCGAAGCATGTTACGGCCTTTGTGCAACACGTTCAGTTGGACAGTAAATAGAAACAAGACTTTCAAATTCCCCCTTGAGATCAAGGTCATCTACAGATGATATCGGTTTGATGTGAAGACTACTTTTAGCATCATTGAGGATATCAGTTGAACTAAAATGTTTGTGCGTTTCGCTGGGGTTTCTTGCCTGTTCCATCCACCAAACTCCCGTCAGTGTCAGGCTCAAACCTGACACACCCGGTAGGATACTGTTTCGCCAGTCTCCACCCTTTCGCCCTTCACTCCTCGAGATACCCCTACGACATCTTTTTCAAGACTCTCTAATTTCCGTATTTACCCTGTAGCTTATTCCACGCACCATTTTTCGAATCAAACATTTCCAAGTTTGAAGAAAATCGGAACGGTTCAATGAAGTTTCCGAGGAACTCAAACCAAACCGTTTCCATTTCTAGATTATTTCCTCACCAACGACCACCAAGAAGAAATCTTCAGTAGTGTGGGATAAATATTAGCGACGAACTGTATCAAAAACCTATGGTTTGTGAAACGATCGTCGTATGCTGGAAGAACATCTTGTGAAATATCTCACCGAGGTTGCGTTGGTCGTATCAGATCTATCCATAGGATCTGAGCAGGAAATACTGTTACTAGGCTGCTCCATTTTCGAAATGTGGTATTGTGGGTGGCCGTCTATTGGTTACGCCTGAACTGAGCCTCCCAGACTACGCGAATAGGAGAAGACAGAGAACTGGGCAGACGGCTGTATCGCCAGGACAAAACGTACGGAGCGTCTTCGTAAATATATTGGGGGACTAAATGGCCAAATATGGTCGTTCACTTGTTCGTTCTGTATAGTCAATGGCGATGTTCCGGTCGTGAGTGCTATCAGGCCCGCTACGCTGGTTGCTAAGTCGTGTTTGGTGAGAGCCGCCAACTCACCTACTTTCCGGACGTGTCATACCGATGGTGACCTTGGGAATGCGTCACTCTCTGTGCATGTACTTTTTCCACGTCTGGGCGCGTCCTGACACGAAAGAACTTGAGGTCGATTTTCGTGGAAGGTGAGCAGTGCATGTAGCCCGTCCTAACCTAGTGAAACAGCTTGAGAGATACCCACTGGCTCGAAAACAGTGGGCTGCCAAAGAGTTTTTTCAGAAACTTTGTGAGTAGTTTCCTTCATGAAGATATATTGCGGTATCTTGAATATCTCACCAACTATGTACAATATCTTCAAACAAGAGATTCAGCTGGGATTCAGTTAAGTTTCCGGTTAAAACTAAACTGGCTTGCAAATGAGTGTGATTCGCTCAGATAGTTGAATACTCAACAACGCATAAAGTGGGGTACTGCTGATCACATAAAGAGCTATAAATTCGTGTGTATACCAGAATGTTGTTCTTGTGAGACGCAGTTCGATCCCTTTTCTACGCTTTGTTAAAAAGAGAGGCTACATCGAAGTATTAGATGAAGTATTAGATGAAAACCAAATTGATTTGCAAATGAGTGTAGTTCTCAAGAACAGTCCAATTAGGGTTCAGGTAGAACATAAGGTTGACGGAAACCCGGGGAATGCGCCTACCTGATGAGCCCCAAGAAGGGCGAAACCGGTCGTGGGCTGTCGAAGAATTTTCAGCTACTTTGTGATTAGTTTCCTCTGTAAAGTATGGCCCCCTTTTGGTTTCGTGAAGTTCCTCGTACCACAGTTATCCAGTGATTAGTCGAACCCTTGGAAACTGTACGTTAGCGTTAATGTCAGCGATTCTTCGTGGTACTTTGGAGTTTGTACAGCTGATAGAAGACGTCAGGTTTAATTACAAAGCTTCGCTCATGGGGTCTAGAAACTTAATATATGTTTACATTTATTGATCGGACCACACTCTCCTACTCCGGTACGTCTCTTTGTAGAACTGCTAATTTACTGAACTTTTAAAGTACCTTTCCAACTTCAAATCATATTTTATCACACAAAAACGATGAATCGCTAACAGCTCCCCTCTTGAGCCTCCCGCAGGACGATATTTTTTCTAGCAAACTTGAACGAGTGAATAGGGAGATTAAATGTGCCCATTTTTATCGGTGATGTGCAGTTGCCATCTGTGTGTTCACAATACACAGATGTTCCGCTAAGCAGTTTCAACCAACTTGATATTGTCATTCAGTTTACATCTGAAACCAAAATTTACAACCTCTTTACCCACTTAACCCTCTTTACTTAACGGATGTTAACTTATTCAGGATATCCACGGGTTCAATTCAATGGTTCGTTCACAGAAAATTCACAGGACTGTACACAAGCTTTCACTCAGGTATGATCAAACCTTGATGTACACGCCATGGCCCATGGCCAAGTATGTCCTAACCTATCGTCTGTCATTACGGTTGGTAAGAAGCCCATCTATCTCAGCCTACCCTATAAAGACGTTCCGACGACAGACACAGCACCGTTTACTTCATTCCTTACAATGCACGTCTCCGGCCGAAACCTCGCCTTATTGGTCTGTAACACACTATTTGCTCAACTCGGAAGCAAGATGCCAGTCATCATTAGGATTATGGTTGTATATTCGTCCTCTTGCTGTTATTCAGCGGCACACTGTGGGGGCACGATACCAGAAATTGCCAAGAAAATGAACAAACAACTTTGGTGCCGAACTATCACTAAACTCGGGGGCATAGTCAAAGACTGAATTGTTTCACATAGCGTTAGCAACGGTCACGTGATCAATACACACGAGTCGTACAGAGTACATTGACAGGATCGATCCGAAAGTATCACCTGCGTATAGCCAAAGCAGTTGCACTACGATTACCAGATTCAATACTGTTAAAACTTGTCTGCCTAGGTCACTTGATACGGATCGATCAATTGGTCGTTTAGCCGCCGTCTAGACCACCTAAAAGCAACGAAATAGACGCGACTTGGGTTCACTGGGAAATGGTTATCCTGGTTTTCGTGTTTTTAATTCGGTAGCCAACCTCAGATACTTATTTCATTATCTCCCCTATTTTATGCACTGAACTGACGACTGATTTTCAGAAACATCTGCATTCGCAGAAAGTAAATGCTAACCTATCGGAAAAAACCCGTCTCAGCCTCACATGTCAAGTGGTTTTCTTCTCCCCTCATTCTCGGCCGCTGATTTTTGGCAGTCTTGTAGTAAGGTCTTTGAAACACGGAATGTCATCATTCAGTTGGAATGGTCTTTGTGAAGTCTTTATGAAGCCTCCGTCATCATTGGTCAGTCGTTCATTCCATGCACCCGTTTCAAGTACAATCTGTGTGAATCATCGGAATTGTTGTCACTAATTTTTGACTCCTTTTCTAGTTAGTTCATTCCACCAGCCTAAGCAACCGCCTCGCGTCTTCCCACTTATACGAAGCCTTCAATACCTCAGCAGCGTTCTTACTTTCCATTGGCTTGGCTTGATCAATAAGGCCTTCATCAAATATTGGCTTCTAAAACCGAGTAGGCTTGCAGAGGTGTGATTTTTGTAGAATTTGTTTGGCGAGAAGGTGTGTGTTTTCCGACAACATTGCTTGATATCGAGTGAGTTTCAGAGGCTGAGGAGAACACACAAGGGAGCAGTATTGGAATCGCGCGCACCGAATCGATCTCAACCTGTGCATGACTTATTACAGACACATGACTCACTTTTTGTTTGTTGTCATTTAAAAGACTTCATCTTACTCTGGAGTTGGTAAAGACAGCCGGATTCATTCATGCTTCCTGGGTTCGTACTTCTCATTTGTGGTTTTTCTACCATTATTTCCCACCATGTTTCGTGAAAACCCTTTAAATCTGGTCGTTATGTTTGGAGATTCATTTAATAGGTATTAAATTTTTAGGATTTGCTAGGAAAACTTATTTCTGTGAAATGTTGACACATTTGGGGAGTCACTTACGATCCCCTTAAGCTAGGACGGTGAATACACAGTCGATACTCATAGCGTATGCATAAGGTGTCTGGTGACCCACGCCACACACTGAACGAATCGAGTCGAATCGTTCAGCTGTAACACCCTTCCGGTGCCTAGCTGCCATGCTACCCAAAGGAAGCACGAGAGCTGGGATACCACCAGGTTGCCCAAGCCTAGACAGGCGAAGTCGAGAGGCCGAGGTCGGGTTCGAACCACGGACCTTCCGGTCAGTAAATTCGCGCTCTAACCACTTGAGCACTAGAGCGGGAAAAGCAGTCAGATATAACCCTAAAACATTCTCCCGGTCCCCCAAGTTGGGAGTTGAAACATGTATGGCCATATGCTCCATTAAAACCTAGGCTCCTCTGACAGTCCCCCGCAAACCACCGCAGCCTTGTGGTTAGGCTTTTGAGTCAAAGGCTTTGGTCAAGGTCTGTATTCATCCTTCTGTCTAGATGGTGTTGCGCTAGGAGTATTCCATCCCAAATGCCACGTTGGCTGTTGAGTGCTAACATCAGCTGGGTCGCCTCACTTGTTGCATACAGCAAGACAGATAAGCGGCAACAAGCTAGTGTTAGAGCCTTCCCGATTCGTGTTCACAATATTCGCTTTTCTTCTCCTTGTCCCATCGCCAATAGCATCTCCGTTCGCCCATTTTTAAGGACTAACAGATCTGTTTCCCGCCCATTGTCATCAGGTCTAATATATACACTCAGCCCGTTCGCCACGAAAGTACATCCCTGAAGATCATTCCTCAAACCCTGACGCTCAGTTCATCCGGTAAACTTTATTGTTTGCACTCTGAAACAGGCTGAACAACTGTTATATCTGCTGATTCGTAAATCTGTGGTATCTGCTGCTGACCCGCTCCGGTGCCTGGTTGCCGGAAAAAAAGACTCACAGAAGGGAACACAACAGCTACATTCCGAACAAGCGAGTGAGAGTGCGTGTGCGGGGAGCAAAAGTTACAACGGCCCCGGGACTTTCTAATATTGATCCAGGCTGCCTGATAGGCGTTAGTGAACACCCATCAATATCGATCGAGCCTTTATGAAATGCCTGAAAGCATATCACATTCGGTCGTGATTCTGTGGTGTGCATGAACACTCATCGGCTTTTGCTGAATTGATTGGATGATTGACTGGCCTGTATGCTTGCTGGCTTTTCTGTTAAGATTTTGGTGGAGCAGTAGGTTTCGGACTTTCTGAGGTTACATTCAGGAATCTGGCCGTCCTGGTAACAACAGATTGCACTTGTTTGAACTCGGGACTCGCTTTCTGTTGATGGTGCTGACTCCCTGAAACGACTGTTTACTTCTGGCGCGCACCTGTGGTGATCCAGAAGTGACTGCGGCTGGTTCTGTTGGCCTTGGCATTGCTCCAAGTCATCGAGGTGAAGAATATCTGCTTGAGTGGTTGCCGGCTGATAGTTGTCTCCGCACGGTTCGTTTGGCAACATTTGTGAGCAAACCCCATAAGCATACAGGTAATTGCTGTCTTCTCACCGTATCTATCTACACCACAACACACTATGGATCTGATACCCTAGAAGAGGGTCTTTATTCCACTCTGAGTGCCTTTCTAAGGGGAACTACGAGCTCAGACATTGTTGTGTTTGTCTGACCAGATGGTGTCCCTCCACCGCATGCGAACTAATCTCCAATGCGGACAGACCACATCACCATTGGCTATAAGTGGTGCGCACCACTCACTACCTGCCGGCAGTTCTGGACCACCTACGTAGATTCCGATCAGTCAGTTGTTCATTGCCATTTCTCGTTGATCTTCCCAAGGTAACGTAAGATGGACACACCCCGCCTGGCTATTGAGAGGCTCTACGGTCCTCAAGTGAAGCCTGCCAGCGCTTTCAGAACACACATCTTACGATGTAAACTCTTATTAGAAGGTACCGTCCGCAACCCTGAAAGATACTCGGTGTTCTGCTTGTGGAATGGTTCAACCAACTAGACCTTGTTACTGGGTCTCTAAAATTCCTCCAAGATTGGACACGTATTCCTCCCAGTCGACAGTACAGCACCATCCGAGAAACTGTCAGATTTGAGGGGAGCAAGCGAGTCTGAGTGGATCGAGGGGCCTGGTGTATCCAGAAGGTTGAAGCGATGTAGGGGAGAAACTCTGGGATTGTCTGTTAACTGTCCCAGCACAATAGGCCCAATGAGCGAGAAAACTGCTGTTGAGAAGGGTTCGCTTATCTCCAAAGAACAAGAAAGCTGAAGATTATCAAAACCAATTCAACTGGTCACTTGAAATGGCCCAATAGGATTCTCAACTGGCAAATGTCCACCAGGCTGTGAACTTGAAAGCTGTGAGTGCCTCAGAAATAAGCGAATGCCTTTTCCCCCTTCTAGCGTCAAGAAGCTACTGGTCATGACGAACTCCCACCTCCCAAGTTCAAAAATCCAAGTGGAATTCTCAGTCGGTGGTTATCTCACTTATTTGCCTCTAGCAGGGAGAAAGAGACTGTTCCAACCAACGTATAAAATAGTAATGCACAGTTTTGAATAAGCTGCTTGTACTGAATTCGGCAATCACAGGGGAATCAGCATTACCCACGTTATTAGCAGGCTGATTATGTCACTTGTGTCACTTGTGTTTATTATGACAAACAACGTCGGGAAGAATTCTGTCTGGACCACTGTTGTGTCTTGCTGAACGGTAGTACAACTCTGTATCAGTCCCTTGGCTTCCTGCTCCGCCCACTATGGTATAGCAAAAGGCACGGTAGCTCTACATAGCTCTTTATGGAGACAAAGGAAAATTATTACAACTGTATCTATGGCATAATCACAGAGCGTCCCACAAGGTCGTGCTAGAATCTCCTTGAGGTGGCGAGAAGCGTCGAGTCAAGGATGCTCGATCCGGATTGGTTGGCATTCTGACCAATAACGGCATGTCTTCGTATGGTCCGTGTCCTGCACGTGAGAAATCCGTTCAAATGTGATGTGATGTTCGGTTATTATGGACGGCTAGCCTCCGGACAACCATATCCGTACACTTCGTCAACGATGCCCATATAGATGTCCTTTGACTTTGAAGGGTGCGTCTGATTCTGCCAAATGCTTCACCCGTTTCAACAAGATATGCCCCAGAAGCTCGTGAATACCATACGCTTTTTGTATTCCCATATGTTTTGGGTGTAAGAGTGCATGGGAAATTCTTCAAAAACCTTCCTATAAGTAATGGTACCTGGCTAGTTTATCTCACTGTTATACCTGACTGCTGTTCCCGCTCCCGTACCTAGCGCCGGAAAAAAACTCGCCGAAAGTACACAACAGCCTTATTGCAAACAAGCGAGTGCCAGAGCGTGAGTGCGAAATTACAATGGCCTCAAGCTAATTTATTGGAGGGACAATGTCGGACCTTGGTCTAGCGCTGTCTTGCGCTGTTTGGCTTCTATACAAGGCTGTTACGCGCTGCATTTTGAGGGGGCGTTGTCTGTCTGGTCAGATCTAATGGAGCTGAGGGTCTCAGTAGATTTCGGGCATTCAGTGGTTACTTTCAGAAATCTGACCTTCCGGATACCCATTTTCCTCAACTCAGAAGGATCTCTAAAACTTCAGTGTTTAGACCGCTCCCAGCAAGACCCTGATGACCTGGAGTATTTAGGCTCTCATTTTCCAAAAAGAACATGTGGCGTAGGCATTACTCGAAAAGCTTTAGCATGTGCTGCGCACCGAAAACGTGCAACGCTGCGGGACTTACATTCTTTGAACGTGCTCCTAAGAGTTTTAGGAGAGATTTGTGGAACACCATACGTATCTCGGAAGCTGGGTTGGCTACGACGGTGGTGTAACGGACCAGATCAACGCCCGAATCGAAAAGGCTAGAAATATTTGTGTCAATATCCGCCAATTGTGGCATCACACACAAAGCACGTTATCCGCCCGAACATATGGAAGTTTTTACGCATTCAAAACAATCGACGAACATTAGCGAATATACACTCATCTACAAACTAATTTGGTTCTTTCGAGAGACTCACCTGGAAGTCAGCTGAATCTCTCGTTTATGATGTTCTCAGGCAACTGAATGTGCTGCACTGAAACATGAGGCGGCCTGGTGCAGCACATTCAGTTGCCTGAGAACATCATAAACGAGAGATTCAGCTGGGGTCCAGGTGAGTCTCTCGAAAGAACCAAATTAGTTTGCAGATTAGTGTATATTCGCTAATTTCGTGCAATTTGGTTTCAAGTAGAACATAAGGTTGACGGAAACCCGGGGACTAAGCGAACCTGATGAGCCCCAAGAAGGGTGAAACCGGTCGTGGGCTGTCGATGGCTTTTCAGCAACCTTATGAGTAGTACATTACAAATCGCCGAACAGTTGTGTCTCTCGAATTGGACATAATTTGCCAACTACTCTCAGTTGTACGCTAATTTTGTTTTGGCAGGAGACTCAGCTGAATCCCCCCATTATGAAGATACAATTTGTGTTCATCTAGAACATAAGCTTGACGGAAACTCGAAGACAACGTTCAGCTGATGAGCCCGAAAAAGAGCGAACCCGGCCGTGGACTATCCCAGAGTCTTCAGCGACCTTACGAGTAGTTTCCTCATGAAAATATACTTTGGCATCCTAAGCGTCGTACCAAGTGAAACATGAGGCGACCCTATGCAGCACATCTAGTCAACAAAGACCACCATGTGATAAACAGCTTGCAAAAAGGCATACACCTTTTTATACAAGATGAGAATAGTTGTGGAATTCCGGAATGTGAATTAGGAGGTCATCTTAGCGGATACACGTAGAATTTAGAGTACCGGGGTAGTGGCAACACGATTGCCCCGAATGTCAGATGTCCGAAGTTGATAACCCAGTGCGGCCAACGACATACATTACTGATGAGCTCTAATAAGAGCGAAACTCGAATCCAGTGCTTTCCCGCTTCGGTGTGGACACCGCAGAATAACTGCATTGGGACAGGAGGACAACTGTTCGAACGAGAGTGATGTGAAAGTGAGATGTGCAAATCCCCAAACTGCCAACAACAAATACAGATATTTTAATAAGACAACCGCAACAAAGCGGTCGAATTAAAGCTGCCTAGTGACGGAAACAAAAGACTCGCCGACAGGGAACACAACGGCTTTATTGCGAACAAACGAGTGAGTGCGAAAAATGCAACGGCCTCGCGCTATATGTTCAGGGGGCACTGTCTGACCTTGCACAAAGGCTGTCTCGCGATATATCTCAAAGTCTACTGTCTGAACTCGATCGACGATTGGTGGAGTTTTGGGGTGTCAGTAGGTTTCGGGTAATCTGGAATAATCTTCAGGAATCTGACCTTCCTAACAAGAGCCAAACGATGTAGTTTGAATTTGATATCAGTGAGTAGGCCTTTATAACGGAAGACAATCGATGGTGCAGCTGTGGAAACCTTTCGGCGACTCGCTGTCATGTCAGTTGAACAAGGCACGAGGACTGAGTTACTGGCATGCCTGAATAGCGACGGTCGAGCCTCCAGAGATGGGTTTGTATCACGAACCTTCTGGCAGTACGTTCGCGTCTTAACCACTGAGCTACCTTGAGCTCAACTGACCAACTGAATTTGGTTCCAATGCCACATCGTTGATCAACAAAACGTAGACAATTGTTTGTTCGTGTAGACTAAGGGGAATGAGCGGAATGCCTAACACGTTTCTTTGACGGTGGACAGAAGCTGCCTCCTTGTGCAAGGCAGTCTGGATCCAATTACGTTTGGTGGTGTAGTGCTGGACGGTGCAAGTTATGTGGTTATTCGCTCCGTGCCGCATGCCATAACCAAGCTATGCCAATCACTCAATAGATCACTAGAACCAGTCTTGCCCTCTTTGACCAAGTCTTTCTTACGTTTCACTTGCTTGAAAGCGCTAACCTGCTTCTTTGTCGATAACGATTTTTCGTCAGTTTATCGGGCCCGGATTGTGACTCAGACACGCGTGTTCGCGAGCACAGATGTTCTCACGGTGACTCACCAGATTCGCATTCCTCATTTGAAAGTCGCTGTGCTCAAACACGTGATCTTGTATCACAGTGAGAAACAATGAATTTGTGCTCATTGAACTGACGAATTAATCGTGACTGATAAGGCAGCATTGTGATGCATTTAAGCATTTGAAAACGACAAAAAACAACAAAACTTTATACAAATTGGTTTAGCTTTGCCGCAGAAATGACTGTACCTGCGAAAGACGTTCGGCGAGCGGGGAGCGATTAAGCTATGGAACTCTTGGGCTGGAAATTGAGGAGCGCGTCTAACCGCCCGTTTTGGGCGGATGAACTAAGACCGACATTCAATGGTTGTCTGGTATTAAGGCATGTACTGAAAAAACGGACATCCATGAGTGGCACACCACACTGGCAGAACGTCGAACGTATTGTCCGAACTGGTGTCAGAACATGACCAGACCTCGACCACCTCGACCAGTAAAATGGGTCACATGTACTGTTGGCAGCTGAGTGCCAGCATATCACGTACACACCAAGCAAGTGGCGACACAACATTTACTGTCATCTACCGCACTAGTACTACAGTGCCACGCACAACTAGGTTCAGAATGTGACATTTTTAGAGTCTAAACACAGCGCAGTGTTGTTGTTATCCGACGTTTCGGTTGCCGTGGGCAGAAACAGCTGCAGCCTAACTTCACAGGCCACGTTTATACATATACAATGATGCTTTGGGCATCCCCTTCTTGGTCATTGGAAACAGATGATTGCTTATGTTTTGTTCTTCAACGCTTTCGCGCACAAACGGACCTGTAATAATTTCAACCGACCTCTGCGAATCGTGCGTGTGCGACAACTGTCAGATAGGCAGCAACCACGCTTTCCAAGTCCCAGTGCGTCGCTTGTTTCTAACTCGATTGGAAACAGATGATTGCTTATGTTTTGTTCTTCAACGCTTTCGCGCACAAACGGACCTGTAATAATTTCAACCGACCTCTGCGAATCGTGCGTGTGCGACAACTGTCAGATAGGCAGCAACCACGCTTTCCAAGTCCCAGTGCGGTGGAAACAAATGATTGCTTATGTTTTGTTCTTCAACGTTTTCACGCCCAAACGGACCTGTAATAATTTCAATCGACCTCTGCGAATCGTACGTTTGCGACAACTATCAGATAGACAGCAACCACGCTTTCCAAGTCCCAGTGCGTCGCTTGTTTCTAACTCGACCGCCAAGCATTAACCTTAGTTTGATGTTTTGACTGGTGTGCCTCGAAACTTACGAGAGCCAGATGGCTGTAGTTTTACCCAAGAATACTCACAATGACGACCCGCCACACTTTATATCACTCGCCTGCTAACCGCACAGACATCCTTTGAAGTCCAAAATATAGGTTAAATATGCCCATAGAGGGTTGTTCATTGTGATTCTCGTCTCTTCACGCCACGACTCCTCGGTCCCCTTTTCTCTCTCTCTTCTTTCTCGCATCGATCGATATTTTAACGCCGTTGTGCTTAGGCCAGGTGATGACCTCTGCTAGTTTCCTCATTCAACTTATTCGTTCGAGGTTAAATCGAACATCTGGCTTGGTGTTATCCCACCTATGCGCAGGCATCAGTATGAAATACCGGACAACCATACATGGCGGTTTTGTATGAACATGTCAGTGATGTCTAGAAAGGAAAGTCTGCTGCCCCTTCATGTCTTGATTCATCTTGATTACTGAGGTAACATGTGTTTTCGGATTGACCTGTCACATCGAGGACCCCCATGTGCAGTTTCCTCTGAGTCGCATTTGTATCTACCTAAATGCCCTTTTCTGCGTAAAACTGAGGGATTAAGACCGGAGAGTGAGCAAATTGGGGAAGTTTTAAAGCCCTGTAAAAACTTAGCTGGTCGCTCATAATTGTCATATGTAGACAAAAGATTGACTGAGACACACAGTGCATGCGAAGGGTTTTCTGGTAGCTCGCACCTGTCAGGCGACGTCTCCAAGACGCACACATTTGGCTAGCTAGCATTATCCTATATACGTTGTGGTCCGCATACCAATGGCTACAGAAAGTTGTCCCAAGCGGGGTCAGAGACTTGACGCGCTGGACGAGACTACGTAGATAGAAACAATCGGGCAGTGGAACCCCATGCTGTCCGCTTAGGATGGACCGATTAATAAGGCGGATCTGGAGTATACACGCACAGAATTCTGTAGTTGACCGTGATTTTACCTCATTTGATCCAGTCTAGGTTATAATACGCGCAAATGACAGCTGAGTGTCGAACTCTGACAACTGAAATCCGTAACGATGTTTGGGTTGGGAGTTCCGACGGTTAACTTTGACAAACTTTGTCAAACCCAGAGGTTACATCAGCTGTTCACGCATGCTAGTATTGTTACATTGGACTGACATTTGAACCCCGGGAAGAATTGCACCACTTCCTCGTAGCTTGTTATTTTGACCTAAACATGACCTACTGAACGTATCAAAGGTATCCGAACTAACTAAACTGATTATCGTGAGGCGGATTATGTGCATAACTTTGTCAAACTCGTCAAACTACTGAGTTAGAGCCCGGTTCGAAACTTGTCACCTAAAAGTAAAATGAGGTTTTACGAACATATCAACTGAAATTTTGGTGGCGCTCTCAATATACGAAATAGTGTCAGGCATAGAAACATCTTGAACTCGGCCTTACTCCACGTGCGCAGTCTGGCTTCAGTCGACCTATCACAATGGAACAACAGTGGACAGCCCGACAGGAAAATCTACTACTTACATCTGTCCAGTTCAGAAGGTTAAAGTTGGTTCGAAACACCAAACGCAGAGCCAGTTATGCGAGTAAAAGCCAGGCACTGAACTATATGACAGCTCCCAAAGCTACCTCGCAAAAATGCGAATAGCTGTTGTTATAGCATAAATTATAAATTTAACGTAAAGTTCAAAGCAATGAGTACACTAAGATATCCAAATGTTAAGGTCATTCTTCCAGAAGCAAGTTCCTACAGGAACAGTTTAACTCATTGCAGCAATTTCTTCAAGCTCTCCTTCCAATACCTCTGTAGGGTGTTTTATTTTGGTACATTTTCACCGGGTAGGGTACAATTGCCGGTAATGTTTTGATAAGTTGTATTAAGTACTACTCACAGTCATTGTTATCGGCCCCAACAACGCTCACGCTAACGCGGATTCAATGTACGCCACCAATTCACCTACTGGCGAATTCAAGGCAACCCCACGCTCGAAAATGGTGCGCAGAATATCGCTGGGCACTCGGACTGGGGGCAATTGAGTGCATACTCTGTCGTCACATCTTTTTCAACCTTGAACGAATGTAAAAAAGACGTTCACCTAGTATACTCGTCAACTGTGGCGTTTGCATCTCCTTCACTCAAGTGCACTCATTCATCCTGCTTTCCATGTACCTCGATTGTTGTATTGTATGGTAGACTTCTTCATACGCTGTCAGCAAGTGCGTCGATTCGCCAACCCGAGGTTCACCGAGGCCAGGCATCCTACAACAAGCTGTGTGCACCTACAAGCCAAACGCGGTCGTTTTACCTGATCTCGGCAACCTACTGTCGATTACCCAACGCAGTAAGCCACGAGGCTAGCTAAGCGAACAGCCCTATCGATCGGTCGATCGATACGTTCTCCTCTACAGACCGAGCGTTAGACAGGGTTGTTCTTGCTAAGGTAGTGCAGTAGTCAGTCGGCTGTGATCGGATATTGGNTCGATCGATACGTTCTCCTCTACAGACCGGGTGTTAGGGTTGTTCTTGTTAGGGTAGTGCAGTAGCCAGTCGGCTGCAATCGGACATTGGAGTGTGAATCACTCATCCTTAGGCTCGTTTAGTGACTTCCGTAACGTGTATCCACCAAACTTCATTCAGAATTTGCATCTGTGATGAGAAGCTTATGAGAACTTATCTACTTAAATGATCCGACTAGAGAAAGCATGAACTATCTCGTGACTGAAATAAACAATTGTTTTCTCATTCTATTTTTATGGTAAAACTAAGACTTTCTAAAACTGCTCAACTAAACACATAGTACAACTACATCGTTCACGAGGAATCTCTCGGATGCTAGGCAAACATGTGAGCGTTTCCGCACTTTTTGCTTCCTGCGGTACCCCCTCGAAGTGTTTTTCTTCATGTTGAGCGCATGTCTTGCTCCTTCTAGAGACCTGTCAGCATTCGGGAAGATCTTGCTTGCAGAATTCAATGCCTTAGATACCAATCGTGATCGAAAAGTGTGTCTGAAGGAGGTCTCGTCGTTCCTCGTGGCCTTTGGATTTAAAGAATCTCAAGCAGTCGTAAGTCAATTTTGTTTCGACTATCAAAATCTTATACAAAACTGAAAAAGTGTGTACATGGTCAGTCCAAATGTTCACTGAATTGGGTAACTTGGCTGTAGATGTCTCGTTATCAGGTGAGTTGGCATCGTTAGTGCATGTGCGTACAGCGAATCGGTACGATGCGGCCCAATGACGAATTTGTTAGCCAGACTTGACCTTCGAGTACGCTGGTTTGTTTGAGTCGGTATCCCCGATATTTGTGCCTGTCTCAGCCAACTTCCATTGACCTCGGCCTTAGCTTTCTCAGGTTCCACGATCTGATCTTTGTTGATGGATCTCCAGTTGGCTGCGGCCGCATGATTCAGTGACAAAATTTACAGCCCAGCACTGCAGTTTCTTTCCATGAAGTGTCGCATGGAGTAGACTCAGTGGTCACCACGAGAAATTAACTTTCTTCTCTTGTGACAGATTCCGTGACCGATTCTAACAGCATGTCGAAAAGCGTCCAGAATTCAAGGGACCAGCAACTTAGCAACTCAGCAGAATAATTAACCAAAGGACCATTGGACAGGAGCCTTGTGGAATCAGATAAACATAGTTTAATTTACGAATACCAGAGGGATCTAGAAGGCAGCTCACGTGACCCCTGGCTGACAAATGGCGGCTGGATAGATGGGTTAAAAGACCAACCAGAATACAAGCTTTCGTGCGCTACCTCTGCCAAGCGTGCCGACAGACAGCCCTGGTTACAATGCTATCAAAAACGCGTGCATATCACTGCTCCGAGCACGTTTAGTAACTTACTGCCCAGCTCCGCTACACGAACACCCAGCGACGATATAACTCTGAGTAGTGGCGCAGGGTTTACAACCAGGTGGACCAACCAACAACTGTTCAATCTGATCCACCGACGTTCTGTCTTCTGGGGAAATAAGAAAACAGCTAAAAATGAGTGGTTTCTCGGGAGAATATAATTTTGGGGTCAGGCGAAGTGGTTTTTACTGTCTTCTGAGTTACGTAATAAAATGAAATCGAAATTGACGGCCAAACCTGTCAAACAAACTCCCCCTACCAATGGAATGACTTTTAATTTGAGTGTAAATTAGGCTACGCATTGTGAAACATCACTCAATTCCAGGTTTTCTCATCCGGAGCTAATGGATGACAAGAATTGTCAAATTTACAGCCAGGTGTGTATGAGAGGTAAATCTGGGACCGTTGGAAGCAAAGGCGGTTACACTAATGGGTGAATTTCAAAACCCGCAGTTCTGAACAGTGCTCATCGTTCCTTCGAGTCATCATCGGTCTGCTCAGCGGCTGCTCAGAGAGACAGAAAGACACAAACAGTTGGCATTTACTGCCTAAACCACTTACTCGGTGAAAAATTGTGTTCGTGAACGTAAATAAAGTTTCGAAGTTGCAAGGCCTACGGTGGTGATCTCAGTTCACAGAAATCACGGCTTCACTGAAATTGATTATTCTCTCAGATCTAGCTGAGCTAGACTCAAAAACAGATGGGAAGTCATTTGAGTTGATGTTTTACACAGCATTAGCCCACACTCTATTTATGCTCACACATATGGTCTCACGGAGGGCAGACTGTTGTGACCACAGTCTCCTCAATACCTTCTTATTACCGTGAACCCGGATTGGATAGCCGTCTGATCTCCCGGTGCGCTTGACCGAACCAGATTAAGTCAATGAACGTGCGAACCGGCTGGTCTATTGATCACTGTCGCGTACAAGCGGGTCAAATGTGAATACTACGAATACAACTCATCTGTCAAGGACGAGTGAGGAACAACCAATGAAATCTGTCTCAACGAAAACGGTTGTTTCATTGGCTGTTATATAGCCCCGTTACGTTCGGAGCTGGTTCTCCCAATACAGGCAAAACCACTAAAGTAGGAAGCATCGAGCTGAGATCGCGCTACTGCTGAGGCATTTAGAGCTTCATCGCTTCACCTATTTAGCTTTCTGCATTGTTATACTTGTAGAAAACAGACTGTGTTCAAATGACAGGTGAATAAATAGACAGTTTCGTTAAACTCTTCACCACATTAAACCGTTTTTCGCTTCCAGTTGTTTATGAAACTGTTCGACGCGAACAGAGATGGTGGGATATCAAGAGATGAATTTGCGGCTGCAGTCAGAAAAATAAAACCGAATCGTATCTCGTAAGTCTTGTCTTGTGACAGAGACTAACTATTCCCTAGACACTTCAGTTATGTATATCTGCTGTATCTGGGTTCTTTGGTGTAGCAGGACTGTCCCGTTTGAATGCTCAAGAGGAAGGAGTTAGTACCGCTCAAGAGAACCAATTGTACGACAATTTTTACTATCTTGAGGACAAGAGAGCAGACGCCTGGTGGTTGTAGGTTTCACTGGTGTTTTTCGTGTCAGAGCCTCATCCACACACACACACAAACACACACAAGATGTGATGGCGGGAAGCCCTAGTTCCGACGGTTGACTGCTGTGTAGTACACCATTATCAAAGACAACTTCTACTGAGCCTAGAATGTAGTAATGCACATTCCATATGGCATTTTATCTGCGCTCGTCAGTAAGGTGAACAACAGATGTCTGGTTATGGATGAGTAAACCAATCACGTGTTTGGAACAGTGTGCCACGATTTCACTGGACAAACTTCACCATAGGAACGTGCGAATCGGTGGAAGTGTTTTTTTTTTCACGGATTTCAGTGTCCACTGACCCGTTTACTATTAAGGCAGACTTTAAGGTATCAGCTTACATTCTTGTGTGTTCCCGTGGATTCATTTGGGCCTGTTTCGATCGCCTTATTAGTTATGCATCATTCTTACACAATCGAAAAATCAATTGTGTAGGTTTTGACTGTTCGATGGGCCTTTTAAATACACCTCACCTGTGCGATCTCATTCGAGTTAAGGAATTTTATCTACTAACAGCTTGAAAGAAGTAGTACCACCTCAAGCATTCATTTCCATTGACAGGGAAGCGCAGCTCCGTAAGCTGTTCAGGCAGGCGGATAGGGACAATTCCGGCACTCTCAGATCTAAGGAACTGAAGGAATGTCTTTCGAAACATGATGAAAAACTCAACACCAAGAACGTGGATGACTGGATCAAGAAGCACGACAAAAACCTGGACGGAAAACTAAACTATGAGGAATTTATCGAATTCATGCTTGACGTATTGTAACACTGTATGATGAATCTCTCATATCAATAGAGCTGTGCATCAAGTCTTTCTTGAGATGCCCCAGTTGTTTAAAAATTCGCAAAACCAGTGCGTAATTGACGGAGCAAACCTTTCGAATACAAATCACCAGTTTTTGCGGATAGTTTGTGAATATTTTCTTGTCCAACGTGAAGATGTTGGAAAATCCGTCAACCACATACCCGGTAAGACACACCATGGCAGAATAATAAAGGTTACAGACTAGCTGTAACGTTCTAACAAGGATAACATCTCTTCCTCTGGAGATGCTCCTAAACGCATCAAATGAAAATCAACTTTTTTTCGAATCCGATATCGGCTGAACTCAAAGGGCACTGAAAACATTGTGTGGAACTTGTAAACCAGCTGGATTCCCAGACCTTTGGATCGTGTACAAACAGACCTTATGCAGTTTGAATACGGAAATATTCACCTAATATCTAAACATGTCAGGGCTAAACCACCGTGGGGTAGGAGTTAGACACAGCAGATTGAAAAGAATTGATTTCATGTCAGCATTGACATGTTTAACCAACCTTTAGGGGCCCGAACTTTGAGGGCATTCATAGGATTTCCGGGATCCTTTTTCAAACGTAGTTCGTATCTTTGAAAAACGGTAAAGTCTCTATTGAGGTAGAAAGTTGAAACGCCAGCGACTAATCCGTGAGCCCTACAAAGTCGGGTGTCGGTATCTTTGCGAAAAATAGCCATCTTTATGGATTTGAAAGATTTCTCACATGGCTCTTGAATCAGTTTGATCGAGTTTTTTTAAATTTACTGTATGATAGACAAAGCAATGGATGCCTTCTGACTTGGCGTGTCTCATGAGTGAATTTAACTATATAGTGCTCTTCATAATGAACTCGAGCCATTAAGATGGACTAAAACAGGACCACTCCTGTGGACGCACTCTTTCGAAAATATACAATAAATCCCTTGTGAGAAAGCCTCAGATCGGATGAGTATTTTTTCTTCTAATACTGATTCATCGTAAAAACCCTCTAAAAAGGAGAAAAACCTACATTGGTGCAGTGCGAACGGATTACGTTTCTCAGTAAAACTGTTCACGGTTTGTGACTTGGTCGCAATCAATCAAGTAAGGAAATTTTTCTTGTAACAAATGCAAATGGCGTGCAATAATTGCTTCGCTAATCACCCTCTGCGGCACAGACCGCGTCACGTGGTCCTTTGCACAGCCATTACAACCAATACCATCCATACGGTCGAAATTCAGTAACTTGCAACGGGTACAAAAGTTTTCGCAGAAAGTAGTGGCTACTTAGTTTGGTATACGTAGCTAGATAACTTAGAGAAAAACGTACACAGGAAATTAGGTTGACGGCGAGATTCACCGAAGGCATGACCGTCCAGATCTTCATTTTCTTTGTGTATTCTGTTCAGCGGGAGTCATCTTATGTCGAATGAGAATTGAAAGGGGGCAGGTCCAAAACTATTCATCATGCCGGATAAGTCACTTTGTGAGGTCTTTCCACTCAGTAAGCGAGGCATTTGACAGGAGTTTCGCCACTTTTCTGAGACTTACCGGTGCTAATTTCTGGTTGGAAAACAAGCGTCCTGTGCTTCCAGACACAAATTCACAATCTGTGTAATAAAGCAGAGTTAGTTTATGAACTTCATGAGCCGTGTTATGCAAATGATCGAATACAAATGGCGAGTTTTGCAAAATCGCGTAAGGGCATACAGGTAAACCAGTGGACAAGTACTTACGGAAAGCCTTGTGCACAAAATCAAGTATATCCTTGATGATTAACGTGCGAAAAAAATGTGGCAATCACTTCAGTACCATTTGAATCAAACTTAGGTTTAGGTTCGCCTTAGCGACCCACAGATATTTGCATCGCTTAAGCTTCCCATCGTAAGCATTCAATGGGTCACTGCAATGAGATAACAGCTAGCCTCTTCGTGTTTGTCAGGCGTGCGATCGAAAGCCTCATCACCTCCATTGCTGTCACAGTAACTTCACACGGTTAAGTGTGATTCTGCGCACCGAACGGTCTCACCAAGTAGGCTGATGAGTTCGCGGTCCGCAAGTAATTCGTTTCCCCATGTACCTGCATGTGCCGCCCTATTGTACTGTCGAGAATGACTACGACCACACTCAAAAGAAGGTTCTTTTTTCTGTTTGAGGCATCACCTTTTTTGCATGTTTGTCGCTCAGGATGTTCTCAGTCCTGTGGTGAAGATCACTTTGATAGATTACACGGTACGAATGCATTAGGCCTCCGGGGATTCACCCTTTACGAGCCAGACTTGTTTGCGTCTGCTACAGTCAACGACTGTGCAGTTAGGGAGTCCATACATTTCGGCAATACTGATTTACTGGATTGCCCCTCCGACAAGCCTCCCACATTAGGGAGAATACGGAGGAACGAATAAGACGGCAAATGTGAAACCTCGGTTGTATTGACCAGGTGTGATAGGGTAGGGACTGATCAGTTATCCATTGTTCCTCAGCTGATCGACCTCGACTAGCTTCGTGTAGGATAGACGGGTCACAGAACGTGATCTTGTCTATAATGCTGGATGAGAAGATCTCAGATTCCAGAAAGCGTCATTTCGCAGGTTGTATAGTACAGCTTTCCCAGGACGAAATGAAGGAATGCCTGCAATACGCACACATTCTTCTGCCTGTGGACCATCATCCAGTGTATCCAGAAAAAATACATTGAGACAGACATGGATAACAGGTGGATAAGGCAATTGTAGAAGCTTTCTATGTTGTCCGAGGATTAGACCTGAGCCAAAACTCGCCACTCTGTTCAGCACACTGGAAGTAATTGCCTTCAAGTCGATTATGCTAGGTTTGGGTTTGAAGACTGACCAATAGTTGATTGTTATTTCATGGAGGAAACCAGATATTTTGGTGTGTGCTCTGTGATTCTTTGGGAGATACAGCAGTTTGTTCTGCCGATATAAATGTCGCCTCAAATGCAGATGAAATGGGCTGTACAAAGGTTTTTTCAGTTGAGGTTTTGAGTCGAAGAGATCAAATGACTAACTTATTGTGAGTTGCGCGACCGGAATAGTATGATCAAGAGTGACTGTTAGCTTCCGTTTCATGTTTAGGCGTATATGATCCCATTTAAACAAAGTTAAGTAAACAAGTCTTCGCTTGTGATTGGTGATTGGCGAATGATCAGACGGAGGATTCGCATAGTCTTCTCTCCAAGCCCGGATCTCCTGAAAACAGACATGTGGTGGTAGGGTATTGGCCCAAAGAAGAGGGAATAGCTTGCTCAACGAAGGGTATGATGTCGTTACAGTGATCCAGATGAAGGAGGGCGTCAGTTACAACTTACGTACGAGAAGCCACAGGCGGAGATCTCAACAGCGCATTGTAGCTATCCAAAGTGGGCACTAAAGCAAAGAAAGGCCTCACTCAAATCAACCCAGAGCACAACAGTGTGTAGCTGATGCACTAGACAAGATATTCAGGAACAATAGCGTACTTTGCGCCTCAGGAGCCGCTGTGGAGAGTGCCTTGTTTGATTAGCAAGATTCTATCAAGTAAACACATTTTCATTGCATTAACAAGCCATTCAGCACACACCACACCTTATCTCTCCCCCAAACTACTCAAGCCGGAAAGCCACCTGCCTGAAAAGAAACGATTTGCTGGAGCAAGACAACCACTGTCCCTACGGATCTGGTTCTCTCATAAACCGGAATAGACTTTATCAGACCAATAGGAAACGGTTAAAGTTTTTGCTTCCTGCGCAAACAAATTCTGCTGCGTGAGTGTGAGATTTCGAATAGAACAGTGAATCTACTCAAGTCCAAACGAAGGACCAACCCCCCAAGTGAATAGTGCCCGGGACTGTGTCTACAGAATTATTTTCTGCGAGTGTACCAAGGTCGAAAAGGCACAGTCGGCTAGAGGACTTCACATAAGAATTGGTGAGTACAAGGGGTAAATGAACACAGATGAATATCGAACAGGAATGAAAGACCCAGAATTGGCAAGAGAGATGGACACTAGACACGGGGTACAAAATGAATCTAGGAAAGATTGAAGTTTTGAGACAGGCATAACGGTTCACAATATGGCGACTGATGGCTTAGTCGGTAAAACTCATCAAACTCTCAGGTTTGACTAGAATGGAAGGCGTAGAACTGATGACGATGTTCTGATCCGTCCAGTTGACACGTAGTGATACAGTTTTCAAAGATGAGTCATCAACAGAACTTGTTTAGATCCCAAGTGCACATACCTGCCCTAACCAAACTGTCCTAGCACCGAAAAGCCCACAGAGACCGACAAAATTTGCCAGTGACACCCAACTCAGGCTCATTGAACAGGGAGATCAGAAACCCTGAAACTATCAACCGTAAGATCTAGTCACCCACATTAACCGACAAGACTTTTGACGGACATTCAACACTGACCTGATGTGCGAGTCGGAAGAGATCTTGCTCACTTGTTCTTCGTCTGTCATAAGACGAAGGTAATCTACTAACCTACACCCTTGGCCTGACAAAGCTTTGTGCCAAAATGGCGGCTTTACCAATCCAGAAACTCTCTAACAAATTCTTCTGAAACACCATTCAAATGCCGTTAGTTAGCCAAGTTTGCAGGACAATTTCACCCTCTAAATCTCTAGGATTTGAGAGGTATGGGATAAACAATAAATTCAGAACTTTTCCAGATGAGCCCCGCCGAAAATTAATCCCCGCCGCCCAGAAAAGATCAGGAAGAAGAGAATATGTTATTTGTACTTTTAGTTTTTATTGAAGAGGGTAAAACTGTAACATGTCCTTAATAATTTGCATGAAAAGGTTCGTTTTTGGGTGCCTTTGCCTCCAGACGAACCCACGCAAGTGGCTGTCCACCAAAGATTGGTGTGTGCCGCATCGGCGTTTATTCTGCATCTTGTAGACGTGCCAAAGAGATTCGATGGTTTGTGTGTGAGCTCTAGTCGTTGGATCCACAAAGTATTCGGTGTGATTAACCGTTTCATGAGTATGCTTCATGTCAATCATCGTTTCAATTCCTTGTTATGATGCCCACATATCGGCGATGATGATTGAGTCGGGAGCGATGCAGGCCTGGATTATGTCCATCAAAGTGGCCGCAGTTCGATCTGGCACTGCATACATGAACACCCCTTTAGTCTGCAAAGGCCGCCAGGCGCAATCTTCACGAAGAAAGTTCTTTCAGTCAACAGCGGTCGTGTGGCTAACAGATAACTCCTCTGAGCAAAAGCTAATTTTTGCTAGATTTTTGGACCAGCAATAAATGAACAGAATTACTGTCCTAAACTCCATCCTAGACCGCTCCAGTCAAGTTCCCTTTCGAAGACCAATTTCTTTCTTACGTCTGAACGGAGAAAAGTTTTGCATAAAATGAGCCAAGATGCGGATTAGGAATTGTTTTCATCAAAAATAGGTCAAGATTGTGTGCGTACAATAAATTGGAGCTGGCAGAAAGTGGCGGGGCTTAACTTTCCGCACATGCACTTTTTGCATTGGTAGTGGGGCTTAGCTAGAAAAGATCCATAAATCCTGCACTATTCTCGGGAAATCTATTTGATTCGCTTGTTGGCATTCACAATCAAAATTCGGATGAAGGTAACCTGAAGAGTCATTCCATTAAAAAGTCTACTGACTCCATAAAAAACAACCACATGACTCATCTATGACTGTGTTTAGGAGACCATCGGTAGATTTATTGCTGGACAGCGTTTCGCTCTTGACACACAGAAGCTTCTTCAGGCCAAGTTACGAGGTGGTCGAGATTTAAGGTGGAAGGAAAACCAATCAGCTAAGTCAGGCTAAATCTGTTTTAGGCGTCTTGCTAACGTGGATCAGCGAGCGTTAATGCGTACATGGATTTGGGTTCAGCTTAGGGTCTATTTCTTCCGGTTCGCTTCACGTGAAGAACGTCGTTTGCACTTTTTCTCCGTATCTGTGGATGCGCTCCAGTGCCTGCTGCCAGAAAGAGCACTCACCGACGAAGAACACAACAGCAACAAGCGAGTGTGTGCGAGCGCAAAAGTCACAACGGCCCCGCGCTGTGACATTTTGACATTGATACAGGCTGCCTGATAGACGTTTAAAAAACACCCATCAACATTGGTCGTCCTTCTATGAAATGCCTGAATGCTGATCACATTCGGTCGTGCTTCTGAGGCGTTCTTGGACACTCGTAGGCTTTTGCTGAATCGACTGAATGACTGAGTGGCCTGGATGCTTGCCGGCTTGCGATTTTGGTGGTGTTTCAGAAAGTTCCGGGCGTTCAAGAATCTGATCTTCCTGATTGTAACCGAAAAAGATGACTTTTCGGTCGGTTCGAAGCATTTTCTCACCTTAAGACCCATAGATGGAGTAAAGTGAGTTGCCGCGGCTCGAAAGCGATCCAAATCGGTCTGAAAACAAGAGATCAAACAAAGGTATATGGTTGCTGGTACCATCGCGCCGAACACACACACACAGGCCACGTTGTAGGACACAAACGGTCGTTACTACGACTTAAAATTTTCAGCACACAGACTCCACCCGAAAATGATCCCAGAGAATCACTCGGTAGGAATGAATCCGGTCAACGTTGGCACACAGTGAAGTTATACCTCTAAACGTGGGAAACTCATCAGGCCTGAAGTTTCAAGTACGGATATCCGGTGCATCGTCCAGAACCAGCGGCGCGTGGACACATTCTCAAGGCAAAGGAACGTTTGAAACTTTGGATCACGTGACAGTCTTCGTGGGAGTTCACCTGAAAACCAACAATGATTACACTCGTGTATTTATCGTTGTCATAGAGTAATTCATAAAGAAATTTCGAACACAAAAAAAATCAACAAGACCTCGCTGCATTAAACTTCGCTTTTTGGAATTCGTTCCTCAGACGAACTCTGGGCATTGCGACCTTATGTTTAATATTACAATATAATAATAATGTATTATAATAGAAGTGTTGTGAAGGTAGTCATCGTGCGTTAGATTTGATTGAAGACCTGAGGCGTCACATCTTGCGATTAAATGCCCGCATTCACATGCGGTTGTATTCAACTAGGAGAAAGAGTGCGATACGTAAGGTGACCAGACTTACCTGATAAACCCCGAAAGGGAAAATCTGGACCACCGACATACACGAATTTGATGTCGCGCACGGTATCACGGAGAACACAATCGATGACACATTTCGCGCAGTTCGCTGACCGGCAGGGTACGTTTCTATGAACGCTTTCTAGGAAGTGATACCATAGATCCAAAGAGTACTTCTGAAAAGTTTCGAGCACAGAAGACTGAGAATTACGTTTTATAACGGTGCTTTACTTTGCGTATTCCGGAACCAAGAAAAACCAAACTTGTCTTGATGAACCTCGGCCTTCCAATGTGGTTCAGTATCTGTTTTTGTGAGCAAACTTCATCCATCTTAGCTGCCTGGACTGCAAGCGCCGCATGCAATGTACCACAATCTACGCAGTAGGGATGTTGATCCTAACGGATACTTCTTTCATCCAACGAATGAAGGGATATGTGACTTCGTATACGAGTCCTTTGATGTGAAATACGAACTATCGGACACTAAAAGTAAAACCTCATACACAAACTTCTTGGGAAAATCAAACTCCTGAAAGGCACTCTTGAGCTTTCCTGGATTTTGAAGAGTTTGCACGGTGACATATTGGTAGCAATAATTTATGAATCAGCTCAGATGGAGGCGCGGTGCTTTAAACTACATTGACTAGATGCTACTCGCACGTTTCATCAGTAATATACACCGTTACCTAAGTATTCGAGAAGATTGCTAAAGTCGCGACCCTCAAAATATTTAAATTTAGCAACAAAACTAAGGCGTCTGGTGCGTGTTTTATGAATCCCTAATGATTTTGTGGTGGATTTTTTATGCTGAATCAGGATAGGCGGTATCTGCTTGGTTGTACAGCGTTTGCGGACTATGTGTGCTAACCTCTGACGACAGCTGTTCCTGACGCGCAACTCTTTGACAGCCCACCAACGGTTTAACACTGCTTCTTGGGGTAAATCAAACAGGCGTAATCTCCGAGCCTACACCAACCTCTCTTTCCACCCAACACCAAGGGGCAAAACGCATCCATTTCTAAGTGGTGTAAAAAGGAGACTCAGCTGAATCCCAGCTGAGTCTCCCGTTTATGACAGCTTCGGCTGGGTGCACTGCACAACTCTTGTTTCCGGATGTCCAAGGATGGTTTATTCACATGACAGCCGAGTCCACAGATGAGAACAAATGTCCGTTTTCGACCGACAGTTTCTATCTTCCGATATATCAAATGAGTGGACCTACAATAATCTTCAAAGGAAAGAGCAGGCTATGGAACTGGCCACCTTGTATTAGTTACCAACGTTAAAAATAAATGATATCAGAATATAAATGCTTCCTGTAAAGCAATTCTCGAGTTACCGCACACTCGAAATGCAATAGCAACATCATACTACGTCACAGAAGGGTGTTAAACATAACAAAACGGAATAAAAATAGAGACAAAACTCGAATGTGGCTTCCAAAAAACGAGCTAGAATTTATAATTAAGCGGTGTCGATGAGGCAGTCCGAGTAGGAGAGCGAAAAACGGGTGAATATAAACAAGGCGATTGTTCCAGCCGGCAAGTTGGTATCAGGAACTTCACAATGACAACGCGAGAGGAGATACTACAAGTAACGTAGTACCATCCGCGAGAAACTCAGCTGAATCTCTCGTTTGTGAAATTCTTCAACTGAATGTGCTGCACAAAGGTCGCTTCATGCTACAGTTGGTGCGATATTCGAGATATCGCAGTATATTTTTATAAAGGAGAGATGCAGGTGAGTCTACCGTGAAAGACAAATTGATTGGTGTTGTCGAAACCAGTCCAATTCGGGTTCAAGTAGAACATTAGGTTGATGAAAACTCGGAAACTGCGTCTACCCGATTAGCCACAGGAAGAGCGAAACCGGTCGTGGGTATCGCGATAGCTCAAATATCAGACCAGCTGAAACCTAAGGCGGCCTGATGCAGCACATTCAATTGCTTGAAAAGATCGTAAACGAAAGAATTCAGCTGGGCTCAGGTGCGCTCCCGGAAAACCCGCAAATTTGTTTGCAGATGCCTACTGAGGATGATGCCCAGTAAGGATGAAAATGCTGTACAGTGATTTGCAGCTTTCCAGTAAAGACTAGCAGGATAAAATATGGACATCCCATAGTTGCTAATAAAGGTGTTTTTCTGGTCCAACTATTTGTGGCTGTTGAAAAGAAATACAGAACTGTCACTCCTACCATGCAGGAGAGAAACGGTCACTCAGTATCTTGAACAGGTTACTCGAAAGAGCTCTGCAACGTTTCTTTTGAGCCCAGTCTTGTGCATGATCTGTGTTAGCTTCACCAAAACCTCAGCATCGAAATCTTTTAGAATGCATAGTTTTCCCCTAAAAAAAGTTTTGTTTATGATGGAGAAGCATAACTGGTCAAACGATTGCCTGGTTGCCAGTTTCATGATAAATCACGTGACTGTCTTGTGCAGTGAAAGGGCTTGGATTGCTCCAAGCACAAGAAAAGAATGTATGCTTTAGTGAAGATGAATGATCAAACCCAGCAGAGAGTTTTCAGCGACCCAGTGAGTAGTGCATTATGTCCAAACCCAACAGATTTTGCAGGCTCAGACTGAAAAAAAGAGGTAGGATTTCGTCGTTTCGTTGATTGGAGATGCTATCTTCGCTTGATACATCCGAAGCAACCCTCCAGACTTTAACTCCGGCGGAAAGATTGTGTTTTTAAACTGAATTTGGGATGAATGGAATCGATCGTTCAACAGTGCGCTAAGCCTGATCGACTGACTCACGTGCTTGACAGTCGACCATATAGTAACTAGACCTTGTGCTTAAACGCAGTGGAGAATCGATCATGCCAGCATTTATAGGATGCAGACTAACCATGACTACTTCTCGGTATGGACTCAGCCTTCCGATTTGAAACCTCTTCCATAAGTCCTCAAAAGTTCAACCGGTGGGCGAAAGTTTCTCAGCCGGTAAAAGCCTCACAAAAGACTTGTCCCACTCTTTGTAATGTACTACTGATAAGGTTGCTGAAAATCCGTCGACAGCCCACGACCGTTTCGCCCTTCTTTGGGGCTCATCAGGTAGGCGCGGTCCCCGGGTTTCCGTCAACCTTATGTTCTACTTATCCTACTCCTCTGAACAGACCATGCAAGACCGCCCACTTCTAATGGCAACCTAATCGTACAATCAACCTTATTTCTACTTATCCTACTCCTCTGAACAGACCATGCAAGACCGCCCACTTCTAATGGCAACCTAATCGTACAAATATCTGTTCTCATCCATCTGAACAGACCAGAAAGAGCCGGGATTCGGTGGCCTCTTGGACTGCGTCTTACGACGACCATTATCTTTATCCAAGGAGATCACCTACTACTCTGGAAGGCAAATTTTATGACCAATCTTGTTTACAGCATCAGCATACATAGATGAGTTCAAACATGAAGGGTTCACTCAACTGCAAAATCATTTATTTCACTCGTAAATTCTCAAAATCGGTTATTCAACTGACACACCCAATGTTTCCAAATTGCCAAGTGTTTTACTATAATTAAACTGGACACAGTAGTCACAAATGGTTCCACAGTCCAGTTAGGTGATGCTGGTCTCTTCCGAGTTGACTGGTTCGTAAGCTAATTTCTTTGTCTACAAGTTGTTTCTGACTGATCTCGAGAGAATACTCTGAGATTGGCTGTTACACTTTCTGAATCACCGCAGTTTGCTGCTGCTTCGCGTTGTTCTGTTCGGCAGGGGTCAGCCATCCCTGGGACCGTTTGGCAAACTGGTTCACCCGTGAAAGTTCCCTTCGAATAATCTTGAGTACCTGGTCAAATACATTCAAACTTAAATTCCTGAGGTGAAAGAGCTTTGAACTCGTGAACAAAGGTGCTCAGCATCCTTATTGGAATTCGGACTACTTCGGAAACTGTTCCCAGACTCAAAGCTGGTAGCTCTAAAGAGGCTGGTCATGAGACACAATAAGGGTTCCTGGAGTTGGAATAACAAAACAGCGATTATCTAAATGTACGTTTGTCTTGCAGCTGTAGCTGGAAAGTAGAAATCGCCGTGCAGCTGTGGACGCATGGACGTCAATTGAATGACCCGGTTTTAAGCAAAGTGTAAACGCTGCGAACAGCTCGAATTTCCGGAAGCACGTGAATGACCTCGCAGTTGTAGCAGTGTGAAAAACTGTTATACAAATTAGTCCCCCTATGGTAGATTGTTCTTTCAGATAAGGTAAACCTGAGCCGGTATATAAGCACCAGCACACGGTTGTTCGCGTCTTTGGCTCAAACAGGTGAGTATTTACTTCATTCTCCTTTCGTTTACCGATACAGTATCGTGCGTAC